TGGATGGAATTGGGGGGTTGGAAATATATAGCAAATATAGTTACACTGACTTTTTTGAGGTTTTGGGTTCGAAAATGCAATAAAAACCAAGAAAAACGATCATTTTCCTGTAGTCTGGTTCCCTGACTCCATATAAGAAGAAACAGAGCAGTTTACATACATTGGGGAATTGTAAGGTCAGGGAACCAGTCTAGCTGGCTCGTACCCGTTCATAGGTTTGTAATCGATTGCAAACAAGTGCGATGGTCAATTGGGGCCAGTATTTGAAAAAAAGCCAGTTGTTTCCAACGCTGATCGGCCGATCAGCGTTGGAAATTGATACAAAAATACCACTTTTCTTGAAAATGACAGTATACCAGGTGCCATGATTTTACAGGGTGCTTGACACTGTCATTCACTAACAGCCCAGCAAGTTATTTCAAAATGATTTGGTAGTTTTATTTTTTGATGTTTGCAAATGTTGTATTTTCCCTATAAATACCTTTTCGGTCAAAAAATCTAAACTTTTCGACCCAAAAGTCAAAACAAGTCAAAAATAAAAAATTACAATGATTTTGTTCAACACTTTCACTTCATGTTTTTCAAAACACCCCTCTAGCTATACAATGGAGTGTCCAGCTCGCGATGAAGTCGTAAACACCTCCTTTCATGGAGATCGGCGCGCAGATCGCGCATACTGTGTGATGTCGCGCAGAATGCAGCTGTTGCGGTGCGTTGTGAATTTAGGACTATGAAGTACTGACTCACTGGTAGTAGTGCGCATGCCTACGTGAGGATTGTGAACGTTCAACCAATACAACGGTAAAAGACACTGGATTTCATAGGAGTCCAAATTTCGTGTGGCACCGGAAAATTGTTAAAGACCAGGCAGCCAGTCTTAATCAACCGTTTAAAACCGGCCACGTGACGGGCTCTCGACCAATAGGAATGGGTAAGTTTGTCTTAGGATTTTATGAATTCAAAATTACTGTTACAATTTTGGAGGAGTGTTTTTCATGTGGAAAATTGATTGGACAATCTGCTTACAGAATTCAGTGCTTTTCAAATGACTAAATTTGGACTTTAGGCCAATGAAAAATAGTTATGCTTCCGATTACATGGCATTCGAAAATAGGGTAGGCAGGTAGGGAATTTTTTTGGGGGGCCAATTTTTTTGTGTACTATCATATGGAGGCGTCTGCATGTAGTCAAGGGTAAAAGGTAGAAATTGATGGTTTTGGGTGTTTTTTGCTCATTTTTCCCATAACAAATTAGGGTAGAGGCTGTCAGAATATGGTAGGTAGGAAGCAGAACTATCCTTTTTTTTTTGGGCCTTAGCCAACACTTGTTTATTTTTCTACGTAAATGCATAAATACATGGGTCGGCCAAATAAGATTTATCTCAAGCAAGCAAAAGTAATTCTTATTCAAGTAAATGACAACAAGTTATGTGTAAAGAGCACTTCACTGAAAGATTTAATCAGTTCAAATGATTAGAATTTATGTCTTTCCTTGCAATGCCTTGTCTGGAAACTAATCCGCTACTTCCTGCTTTCTGTAATGCAATTTCCTGAAAAACCAAAAGTTGGCTACAGGCATTTTGTTTCGGCGAGTTTTGAGTTGTGGATTCATTTATAACTTCCAAATATATACAGCCGATACCACGGAGAAAACCTTTATTATTAAAATGAAGATTTCAAAATGAAAATGTATGAACAGAAATATAAATGTATACAAAGGTTTTTAATGTTAGTGTACATGACAAAGAATAAGGTTTTTAGAATCAACAAATTGTTTTAAACATACAGCTTTTTATTTCAAAATGCCTTCAGAAACCAAAACATATGTACTCTTGAAAAAAGAAAAATTAAGTATACATTTACATGGATTAGTTTAATAAATATCCCATAAAACATTGCAAAAACAATTACATAATATTACAACGATACACAATAATACACATGCATACATGTACATTTGTTGAATATTACACTAAGTATAAGTATGTTAATCTTATTTAAAGCACTGGACGCGATGTCAACCTTTTAACGAAGTGATGTGGCATTTCTGTCCTAGTGATTGCTTTTAAAAATCTGTTATCCAAAATATCTCCTTCTAGATTGTTATGAACATCTTTAAAGAGAACCACTGTACAAGAACAAGATTTAAACAGGTGCACAAAATTTGTAAGACATTTGTAAGAAATGGAGGCAGCACAAGAAGTAAATGATAATACACAAAAGCCCTGAGCAGAAAATGCATTGCCACACAAGGTTTGAGTATTCTATAAATAAATTGTAACAGGTGTTTGCATATTAAGGGAATAATGTGCTTGGCACACCGGCTAGTGGCCTGGTCGTGGATTCGGCTTGGGTCATCATCCACGACCAGGCTCCTAGCCGGTTTTAAACGTACTTGTTTAATACCAACCAAGCACGCACATATTTATTTGCGTTCATAAATACCTTTCGGTCAAGAAGTCAAAACAAGTCAACAATTCAAAGTTTTTCAACGATTTTGTTCAATAATTTTACCTCATGTTTTGTCAAACACCCCTCTGGCCATGTCTATGGTATGTGGCTTGGGCACGTAGAGCTCAAAATCTCCCTTTATGAAGATTGGCGTGCGTGTGGTGCATACTGTGCAAAGTGGCGCAGAATGCAGCGGTGCAGGAATAAAGTGTTTAAAACCACTTGGTGTTTTATCAGTGATATAAAACAACCCATGTGACAGGCTCTCAAACAATAGGAATGGTTAAACTGTCTAAGGTTTTTATGAATTATACATTGTAATTGTAACATTTGGTTTTCGCCCGTAATTTTATAAAACTGATTATAAACTATGCTGATATAATTATACTATACGCGAAAGAGAAAAATATTCTCGAAAAGTAAATCCCAGTATCAGAATCAACAACTGAAAATATATAAAAATTCATCATATAAGTCATGAATTTATATTGTGCATCAAATTTCATACTGTGTAAAAATGTGCGGATGAAATGTACCAATATCATAAGTACTTATTAATACAGTACAATCCTCATGTGGCCAAAAAAAACCCCAAAAAACAAGTGATGCAATTTTTGTCCAAGAAAAATTCTTTGGCAGATGAATGGACAATTTCTGTGTGTCTGTACAAATGTTAATTGCAATAATTAATATCAATAACAATATAAAAACTCACTCACAAGGAAGAAGTATTTTCAGATAATTTTTTTTTTAGTTTAAAAGTGAATTAAAATGTGACATCTTCAAAAATGGTTAAAACAATTAAAACTCTATCATTAAATTTATACGGAGAATTCCGATTACGGGAAGTTCATAATAAGCATGCACATATATGCTAAGTATCCTGAAACAAAGCTGGTTAGCAAGAGATAACAAAAACTGTCACCATTCCTGAAAATTCAACTAGTGTTGACCCTAAATCTCCACATTACATTGTTTATTCTACAATAAAATCTCAAGATCAAATGAAATTCGTCTCTTTTAGTACTGTATGGAAAGACAAAATTGAGAGAATTTTGTATTTCTAAAATTGAGTTGTTACTTTGGGGTAATGAAAAAAAAGGGAAGAAAACTATACAATAAAATACCACAGACAGGCTTCCAAGCAGACCAAGTTGAATAAGTAGGATCAAAATTTAAAAAAATATATCAAGACAAAAGTAGGACTTGGGATAAAATCAGGATAAAAGTAGGACTTTTGCGGGCTTTCAGTAGTAGTTTTCATGTCCACCCATCTCCACAGTAGTCTATATGTAATAGACCACGGCAAATGCCGTGGTCTATTTCGCGGGAACAGATTTGCTGATTAATTAGGCAAGACTCCCCCTCTTGACCTCCTTGAGTTTGACCGATCAGCGGGCGCTTTCTATATCGAGTCTTCAGTCATTCACCTGTTGCGTGTCACATAGACAATGGATTAAAAAAAACACGTGACAAGCGCTCCGTATCATGTTACGCGATATGGGGCCAGTTGTTGTTTATCACAAAGCACTGCATTCGAATTGACCAATCAAACCATTTAGTCCTGATTTAGGAATGACGAAATGATGTCACGATTTAGTAAAGTCAACTCCGATTGGCTGGCACGCGGCTTGCATAAATTTGCATGTCAGACTTTCTCCAGGATTTGGCTCCGTGGATAACGGGTGATACTCAGACTATGTCCACAGCACCACAAGCCTCATTGGGCATGTTCTGTACTCACAACACTTGTGCTCCATCCTCAACTAAAAAAGCTCTTGGAAGTGCAGTGGCAGTACTCCTGCGCCCAAGCCCTTCATTGTGTGATTCAGATTTACATATGACAGTGTGTAACACTCTTATGGAAATTATTCAATGAGTTTTTATTTTTCGGAGATGTCAGGGGCAAAAAGGTAGGCATTTCAAGAAAAAGTAGAAAAGTAGGAGCAAGGTTAAATCAAGTGCAAGTGCACAATAAGCTCTGGCCGTGTTGCAAAAAGTCTTGCATGAAATCGATCAAAATGATCCCCGCCGGAGCTGAAAATTGCAATGCCGAAAAATATGACGCCGTTGGCACATATTGAACACCGTACTTTTAGTCAATTTTTCGGGGACAGACAGACAGACAGACAGACAGACCATCCAACTGACCGACTGACCACCAAGTGACTGACCGACTGACCACAATGTTAAAGCTCCTGCCGGAGCTTAAAAAAACTAGGAAAAAGTAGATATATACTTGAAAGCCTACACGGAATTATTACTAATGCAGAACTTGGACGAGTCATACATGAAATTCATTAAAATTTGTGTCATCTTAAAAAATCCAATTCATAAAACCTCATCAAGTTAAAATGTAAAAACCGGGTGAATGAAAAAAAAAAAGAACATCAAAATAAGTTAAATATTATTTCTTTTTTAAGTACCTTTAAGTGGTAAAGCACAGGAACAGCAGTCCAGATGTCTTTGGTTAGAATCCTGACTCGGGCAAATTTTCTTTGTCCCCAAAATATGAATTTCAGTTGTTTATTAACGAACTTTTTATAAAACTATGCGCATAAAAATATAGTGGGAAGAAGTGCGTGGGAATAGAAACCAAATCAGTTTTGCAGTTACGGCCATTTGGTTGGTGAGGGCGCTGTTCATTTGACCCTTGACATCCCATAGATAGCTCTGCCTTGGTGTTTGTAAAGCTGTGTCCGAAACGGGTTTCCAGCGCTTACGGCTTCATCTATCATTGTTTCCACGCAGTCGTAATGGGTGTGAAGATCTAGACAATAGCTCGAAACTAGAGATTCACATGCAGCATGCAACCAAGATTGTCTTGGCCTAGAATGCCGGCACCATACTAAGTGTAGGATATATGTAACTCCTCGATTCCCACTTTGCCGTTCTTGGTGCAGAATCTGTACCTGGCTAGGTCCTTGCGGGTAACAATTCCAATGACCTGTGATCCAGAAAATAATAAAAAAGAGAACTCTTATTTGTTTGATTCCTAGGCAAGTCCTTAGTGGTGTTTTGTGTGTTTTTTTTTCCTACTTGGAAGGAACAAACTAGAAGTATGGATTTAAATTTACATCGTGATTCTACAGCAGATGTTCATTTTATCGTTGCCTTTTATCAGTTTTTTTGGAAAGAATTTTGCAACCTGACGCCACTGCAGCGGTTGTGTTCAAAGTCTATGGAGGGTGAAACAAAATTCTAAGTATTTCCTAACAAAATTGGAAATGTTTCTCAGTCCCAGATTCATGTCTTATCATAATTTTTTGCAATGAATGACCTTCCTTGAGATGATATATGAAGAAAAAGGTGGCGTCAGGTTGCAACATTCTTTCCGTTGTTTTTTTACACAAAAATTAAGAATTTAGTTTGTCACAAAACGATACAATTGGTTATACTTCATGAATTCAGGTACGTCACTTTAAAGTTTGAAACCTCAGTTTTTTTTTTTACTCAATTTATTTCAACGAAATTTGATCACAGAGAAGAGGTTCCGTGCAATCTGCAAACTGGAAATCAGGGGTCAGGAAACAAAATTTTGAAAATGATAAGATAGCTTGACTTACGCGATTGGAATCGTCAATCACAACTAAATGGCGAAGACCTAGAGCTCTAAATAGACGGAAAATCCTGGGAAGGGAAGCCTCCTGTAAAAGTAAGGGGAACAAATTTGAAACAATCAAACTGAAAAAATTGCAGTAAACATGAAAAACCAAGGGTTGGGCTTCCAAACTTACGCCCGTTTTCAGTGAATGAAATTCTTAAAAGTAGAGTATATCATTTGTGCATTTTTTTCATTTGAAGCAACAAAGAGCTCCAATCTAAAGACGGGTGCTTAACAATTAACCTGATGAAGTTTTAGCTCTGTGAATGCCGTGTATTCCAAGAAAACACTATTCTAGGATCTCGATTTTAATTCAATTTAGTTTTCCGAGTCATATTTTGAATTGTGCCCGAAATCATTGTCCAGGACACGTTCTCATTCAGCCGATTGCAGCTACGCGATGTCACGCGCTGAACTGACGAATTGAAGCAACCGCGCGCATGTGTGCATCTTGTCAAAGCTTGCGCGCACCAGTCGCTGAATTTAAACCAAACTACTAACAGGTGGTGATTACTAACGGAAATTTCCAAAAATGCGTCTTTAGATGCATCTTTGGAAATAACATTGTTTTATCATTTTCTTTTAACTGACAACATGCCAGAAAGAAAAATTTCACAGGGAGTTTAGTCCCATTACTATCTTCAAACCAAGTATGGTTTTGAACAATAATTTGGTCAGTTACTTTTTGGATAGCTGCAAATGATCTACTCTACCTTAAACAAGACAAGCCAAGTAAAGCCGGTCCAAGTGCGCACAAAATTTGAATCAATCATTTCAGAATGGCTACTCACTGCCTTTTCGTGCATCTGGTCTGGGCCAGATTTAGCCCATTCATTGGCGTTACAGGGTAATCCTATATGAAAGCACTGCCCAGCTCATCAGTGACAGTCAGTCAATGAGATAGGCGCAAAGACGACACTAGTCTGCTCTTCAGGACCAGCAAAAAATTAATGCGACCCATGTAGGACGTTGAACATACCTTGGATACTGTGTACGGCGACGGATTCATGAACTGTCTCAAGTCAATCATGCAGTCTTTCTCCAGTTCCGATATCTCCAGCTTGTTGATGTCTGGGTAGCGCGGGTAATCATCTCGGAAGTCCTCAATGCCTACAGGGACGTGGGGATCGTACAGGTTGGGCCAGACGCTGAAAACCTGAATGTGTAAAATCATATTAAGAACGTCATTCAAAGATAGTTGATTAATACCTTATAATATTATTTAAAGAGTTACTTTGGTAGTGTGGGTTACAATGATTTTTCGAACCTATATATTACGGAAGCACCCAAACCATCCTGCCTATTACTCCCTGTAGCGTCCGAAACGCCTCGAGCACTCTATGGTTTTATATGGATGCATCAGTGACTAAACACAATGTAATACAATGTAGTACGATGCGATGCGGGGTGCAGCCTAGCCTACACCAACTCGGGACTTGGTCGCCGCCCTCCACTCAATGTAGCAGGCCTGCAATGTAGTACAGTTGCTATTAGCAATGGATTAAATGGGTTAAAATACAAAATTTGGTTGGGGCCACGCTGCAAATAGTTTGCAAAATGAGAAGGAAAAAAATTCACAAATTGCAATTAACAGGAATAAAAAGTGGTAAGAGAGAAACAAACCGACCTTATTCTTCAGTAGAACGATTAACTGCGACCTAAGGATTGTTCCCCTGAAGATGCCAAACGTCAGGCCATTCTGGAACAAAGACAAAAATATGGAACCAATCAAACAAAACTGTCCTCGCACTTTTCCGACCTTGAATGACCTGGATGATACTCTTCAGTTATTAGAATCCCTTCAGAGGGCAGAGCTGGGTTTGGACTTCTATGGTCCAGGTTTGAATCCCTCCCAAGTCCGCCCGTGGAATGGGTATTCCATCCTAGCCTGATTCTGTGGGTTCCCCCTGAGTATATCTTGGGTTTTCCTCCCCCTCTAAATAATTTCTTCATTGTCTTCTCTCTGCAGGTTTCTTCAGGTTTGTGAGCTACAGTGCCTTTGGTGCTTTTGAGGAATCCTTGGTTTCATTACCAGAATTAAATAACATTCATAAATACCTAAGACAGTTTACCCATTCCTATTGGTTGAGAGCCCGTTATGTGGCCGATCTTAAATGGATGATAAAGACATGGCTAGCTGGTCTTAAACACTTTTCCAGTGTCACATGAAATTTTGACTTCTAAAAATCAAGTGCCTCTTACTGTTTTATTGGTTGAACGTTCACAATCCTCACGTAGGCATGTGCAATACTACCAGTGAGTCAGAATTTTTTAGTCCGAAATTCACAACGCAATGCACCACGTGCATTCTGCGCGACATCGCGCCAATCTCCATAAAAGGAGTTGTTTACATCTTACTCGCTAGCTGAAAAATCCATTATTTAGCTAGAGGGGTGTTTAAAAAAACATGAAGTGCACTTGTTGAACAAAATGGGGTGTTTTTTGGCCAAAAACTTTAGATTTATTTGACCGAAAAGGTATTATGAATGGGAATAAATAAATATGTGCTTGGTCGGCATTAATCACTCTGTTTAAGACCGCTTGGAGGTGTGGGTGCTGATAATTACCCTCGCCCAGAGTAATTAAAACCTCCTGAGCACACATTTATTCCCTTATTAATAAGAGTAACAGCAAATAACTTACGGGAACGTATGAGTCCACGACAGGGAAACCATTGTGATTCACTCTGGGGTCTTTCAAGACTTCAAGTATGCGACCGACTCTTTCCACCATGTTGAAGGTAGTTACTGGGTGAGCCATTACCTCCCTATGGTAAAAATCAAGAGCCCGACTTGATTAAAAACAACTTACTAAACAAATATCTCACTTTCAATTTGAAATGGTTTTGTATGTTTTAATCTTATATGTGTAATGTTGACCTTATATAGCTCGAGTCATTTGTGGTTGTTTCCAAATTTCCAAACTTTTAAAAGTACATGAGTGATTTGAATGATTCTTGTACTAAAAGAAAGCTTATAAAATAAGGCTTTCATATCCTAGATTTTGAAAGTGCTTCATGCAGAACTTCAATACAACAATGGTCCCGACATTTGGGTTTCGCTTTTTTGACTCGCCCTGTATGCAAAAGTCCTTGTTAACCCGTGAAATACGCTTACTGTAAGCATGGGATTTTCTGCTACAGTAAGCAGGGATTTTTGCTAACAGTAAACAGAGCCATGAAATTGGGCCCTGATTAGAGGGTAAGGGGTTCAAATCCCTCTGCTGGCCATATATTGTGTCCTTGGGCAAGCTACTTCACCCCAACTTGCCTCTCTCAGTTACCAGCATTAGCTGGGGAGCATCTTTGATGGACTTGCATATATCACATCAAGAGGGAATACAAATATTCTCAATGTTTCATGCTATGGAAACGAGAGATAATGCTGGCCTGATGAGCCATATTGGCTTGTGACCATGGAGCTATATTAGATTACTAGAGCGCTGACTCAATGTACTAAGTGATGCCTGCTGGGCGCATCCATGTTTGTGCACAAACCTATGGAAAACTTGAAATTTTATAAGGCTTTTGTACAGCTTTTTGCATATCTGCATTTGTATTCTACACAGGTGCACTATTGAAGCCCATGCGCCAAAAAACAAACTGCACAATCAGTAAATGAGTGTTTCATTTTGCTCTGCGCAAACAATGCAAATGCGTGCGCGTATCCGCTGCAGATGATTTTTGCCGAGACATTTTTTTAACCGGCATGACGCACGCCTTGGTTGCATTTTGAGTACACTTTCAAAATTCACTCAATGTCATTTCATTATGTTCTACAAACACGCGCATGAATTCAAAATGTCTGCAAGCAGGACGGCGTCAAAGTATCTCCTTGTGTAAGAATGTGGAATTAGCGCTCTAGTAATTTAATATAGCTCTATGCTTGTGACAGAATTGACATTTGCTGTACAGGCTAAGATTTAATTTCCAGATCAATGTTCAAATTCTAGTGAGTGAAGTCTACTCATAATGTAGTCACAATCGTAGAAATTTGAGTTTCGAGTCTGTTGAGTCAGAAGACGGAACTCACATGGCTCGTATGGTTGTACTCATTGGCGGGGGGTCCCAGTTCAGCAGCGGCACGCTCTGCAGCTCAATGTGGATGTCATACAAGCCGTGGTTGAAGATGTCGCCGACCCACTTGGCTAGGACCATGATGAGCATGAGGGGTAAGCCTAGGGTGATGTTGCTGGTTGCCTCCATGAGGATGACTGTTAGGCTGATGGTCATGCGTACAATGCCGCCTACGACATGGGAAAAATAAGAAAGATCTTAAATATATCAACTGCTGAATGTTGTGGACAGATACATGTACAGGGTGAGTAAAAAAACACGAAACCCTAATGTCGGGACTATTGTTTTAGTGAAGTTATGCATGTAGCACTTTCAAAATCTAGGATATAAAAGCCCAATTCATAAGCTTTCTTTTAGTACAAGAATCATTCAAATCACTTAAGTACTTTTCAAGTTACAAGTTTCAAGTTGGAATAAACACAACCACTGTTTTAAAGTTCTGTCCATGGATCACACAAAAGGTGTGTGCTCTTTCAGCAGACCGAAAACAATTCACACACATCCCTATGTGATTTGTTTTCATTTTGCTGAAAGCACACTTACCATCTTGTGATCCGTGGACAGAACTTTAAAACGGTGGTTGTGTTTAAAAGTCTTTAACTTGAAAAGTACATGAGTGATTTGAATGATTCTTGTACTAAAAGAAAGCTTATGAATTGAGCTTTTATATCCTAGATTTTGAAAGTGCTACATTCAGAACTTCACCAAAACAATGGTCTCAACATTTGGGTTTCGTTTTTTTTAACTCACCCTGTATATATAAGACACAATGACAATTTTTTTAGTAACAATGCACTTAAATATATATAAACATTATACAATGTATATTATTATTTATATCAGGATTCCAGTTGTACAAATAAATCAGCTTATTGTATGCTTCATAAAAGTACCTGGATGACTGCAATATTATGTCACTAAAAGGTACCTGGGTGAGGACAATATTATTTTTGATATTGTCTTTATCCGGGCATTTTAACAAATTTCACTGGTTCCCTCACAATCAAGAGCATAGAACCGCACAGTTATCAACAGAGTGTCGCGCGGTACCGCATCAAGCAGCAGGCTATAGGCGCACTGTTGTCAACAACCACTATGGCAGCTTTAAGCGGCGCAAAATTTGCTTCGGTAAGCTAAGAACATTCAACCAAATTCGATAAATAAAGACAGTGTCTTGAAATTTAGTTCTTGCGTATCAAGTCAGCCTGATATAAATAGGCCTAATAATATTTGATGTTTTTTTTTTCAGGGGATTCAAGAATATATTGCACTCGCTATAACAATATTGCTCTCATCTCACAGCGTGTGCAATATATTCTTGTATCCTCCTCAAAGCCATCCAATATTATATAAAAATGGGTCCTTGCTGAGCACAAAATGGCTGTCTCTCTCCCAGGCAACAGTAGTTTGGATAATTGTTCCCAAAATTTTTTAAATTGCAACTTACCAAGTTGAGCTGCTGCCCCAAAAAATGCGTATATTCCTGGCGAGGACAATGTCTGAGAAAAACAAGAATATAAAAAAATATGAAAAAAACAAGAACTATTGTCCAAATTAGATAAAATTAAGCTTTTTACAAATTCTTGCATGTATTCTTATTCCAGGGCATAAGAATGAAAACTACGAGGTTCAAAAGGTCTGTAAGGCTAACAAAAATACACCTACAGTTTCTAGCCCTATATGAGCTAAAAAATAGCTCGAAACTTGTTTACACTTACAGACCAGATTGCACAGATCTCAACCTGCTGCAGAAAATTGAAATCATAGCCAGATGAACAGGGGTAATAATTGCGAAGTGCATTATTTAAACTCATCAGCATTGTACTACATTGTATTACATTGTGTATATATTCAAGGAAGAATCCATGGGCAATATATATATAAGCACCACCAGAGGTGTGAGTGACCACTGATAAAAATAGCTGAAAACAGCTGAAAAAGGTGCAAAATAGCTGAAATATGGAAATCTCCTATACTTTTGTACACAGCAAGAGAAGGAAAAAAATGATATCCAAAACAAAAAAAGCTGAAATCAGCTATCAAGCTGAGATTTCACACCCCTTCAAACTAATAACTCCACTTTTTTGCACAACTGTCAAAGATTGATACAATAAAAGTTATCATATCTCACAGCTTCAGGGAAGATATAGGGCATAGCGGTGCCGATCAGCCGGCCCCAGGCTGCGCCGGTCAACAGGGATGGAATGAAGAGACCGCTGGGCACGCTCAGTCCGTAGGTCCAACACGCGAGGAGGAAGTAACAAATGCAGAAGACAGTCAGGGTGGTTACGCTGTAGGAACCTAAGGGAAAGATTGGACAAGAAAATTAAGCTGGATTTCAATGATTGAAAAGTCGAACAATGAAATTGACTGGAGCGGGGCTTGAACCTGCGACCTCCGGATAACCGTTCCGGTGCTCTACCAACTGAGCTATCCAGCCCTATGTTGGCGGTTCCCCAATACTGCTTTTTATTACAAATTTTCAAATGAACCACACAGGGAAACTGACTAGGTGAATTACAGAGTTGCTGACTCGAGTCATGTGACTTTGACTCGAGTCGGACTCGAGTCGCTATTTTTGTGACTTGTGACTTGACTTGTAAATACCAGCTTTGACTTGTGACTTGACTTGGACCTGCAAACATTGACTTGTGACTTGACTTGGGATTGCAAAAAATGACTTGTTACCAACCCAAGTCAGCTGCTACTCGAGCGACCCAATACACTTTAATTAAGCTATTATACTTTTAATTAGCTATTCGGTTTACGCCTATAACGTGCATTAAAAAACGGACTTTGGCTTGCACGGTTTCTACTTCGCCCAGCTGCAGCTGTAGATCATATCAGTGAGCTGAGCTGTTACGTTGCTACTAGCTCCCCCATCGAACGTGTATTCAGTCATGGAGGAATAATTATGAGGCCACACAGAGCAAAGTTGAGTGATACTATGCTATCAAATCTTGTATATTTGAAGTGTAACAGTTTGTACATGAAAATATAGATTTTTTTATAAATTGAAGTCGCCCAAAACAAGGCCCCAAAAGGCCACTCAAGGTGTTTATAAATGCAGTTTATAGATGCAGCGAGAACGTTTCATTCCAGAAATAGTCCTCAGTGACTGAATCCAGTAAAATGAATAGTTCCCACTAGTTTCAAAAGTTTTCAATAAGACTGTCACAACAAACTACAGTTTTCAATGACCAAGTCTCATGCTTAATGTAATGGTTGAACAAACTTTGAAAGGAACCTTTCATGAAAAGAAAGCAGGCCTTTGTCAATTGCATGTAAAATACCGGATAGTCTAACCCATTGGTAGGCGTTTAGTATACATGAAAATTGAACAATAAAGTGTTAGTATACTACATGTAATCGAGTGAGTGAAGTATTTTTTTTCATGTCATCTCAACATTTATTTCTACAATGTAAAGTAAATTTATTAAAGTATACAAAGGGCTAATATCCGACAGATATGTGATAAACTACATGTACAAGAATAGTAATTGCAACACATTGAAAAAGGGGAATTAAGGAGGCAGGTTCAAAATAACTCGTAAGTTGACGCCAGGTTCTTTTAGCTTATTACAGCTGGACAAAATAATGTGCAACTTGATGTGTTCTTGGACAAAGATACTTGTGACTTGACTTGTGTTTAGACCAAATGACTTGTGACTTGACTCGTGACTGGACCTAATGACTTGTGACTTGACTTGGACTTGCAAACAATGACTTGTGACTTGACTTGGACTTGCAAAAAATGACTTGCTGCCACCTCTGGTGAATTATAACAACTGAAAAGTACAACAAAGAAATTGAATGGAGCAGGGCTTGAAACCTGCAACCTCCGGATAACCGTTCCGGTGCTCTACCAACTGAGCTATCCAGCCCTATGTTGGTGGTTATGTTAATATCTTTGTTCAAGGGGCACTTTAATTGTCAGAAGCCATTAACCAGTGTGCCATACAGCCAGGGATCACGCCCAAAGTCACAAACCGGAGCCGACGGTCGCAGGTTCAAGCCCCGCTCCAGTCAAGTTCTTGTTCAACTTTTCAATTGTTATAATTCACCTAGTTAGCTTCCCTGTATGGATTTCAATGATACGGACTTCAGGTCCAAGACTACATATGGATTTTGTTCCCAGAATGCAGCTGGTCCCGACCCGGGGCAAGTGCAGTCTAGCCACCGCGGCAGCAGAGGGTGCTATTAACATGAGGAATCAATTCTACTGTTGGGAACTTTGGTATCGGGACCGAAGAACTTCTGAGCATATCTCACATTAAATAAAGCCGTGTCCATGCATATTCCTTGGCTACGGCTTGAAATTACACACGAGTCTATGGGAAGCGGCTGCAGCCACTACCATAGACTGGTGTGTAATTTCAAGCCGTAGGTAAGTAATGCGGACACTGATCTGGATTGGGCATGATATTTGCCTCGTCCGCATGTATTTGCCTCATCCACGCACTAGTGAACAAGCGAGGGCGCTGTTTACCTTGCATGTCGTGAAACAGACTCTTGACCGACTCTTCCGGTGTGTTGAAGAACAAGGAAGCCGAGGAACTGTACTCGCCATCGTTGCAAAACATCTGTAACAAGAAATGTAGAAACAAAAATGTATATAATCATTATTAGGTTTTTGCCCTTCACCGACGTATAAACACTGTATACTCAGTAAGTTACCTCCCGAGTGAAAGTTAGAAAGCAGGAGGCCATGCACGTTGTTGAAGGACAAAAAAAACTGATATTGATTTACATCACCCCGACGCAAATTCCATCTTATGAATACTTTGATTGCAGTACCTGCTGCTATATCAGATTCAAACCAGCCAACCGATCCCAGCAAGTGTTTGTGAGGTAAGACGTCTGCACTAGAAAGCAGGAGGTCGTGGGTTTGAGTCCCACCCGAGTGATTTTTTTCCCAATTTTCACAGTATACAGTGTTTATACGTCAGGGAAGGGCAAAAATCCTAATATTGATTTACATCACCCCAACCAAAATTCCATTTAATGAATAGAAATAAATAAAAGGCGCAACAGAAATACGAACCAAAGAAGCAACTGTGTTATTTGTGGAATGAAGACAGATGTTATGAAAGTGAGTGAATGATTGGTTATGGGAACTTCCATGGAATGTTTAGTTTTTATGTACAAATTGGTGTTGTGTTGGCTGGCCAGTATTTTTAGGAAAATCAAGTATGAAATTAAAAAAAAACATGCCAAAAACAAAAATAATAATAATATAAAAAGGCTAGGCAAGCATAGTACAGCTGGTTCGAGACCATTTCGGTCAAAGGGGTTAAGTTAGTCACTTGCGTCGAGGTGAGGCTTATATGCAAGACTAAAATACAAGTGACAATCAGTCAGTGGTCAGTCAGTGAGTCAGTCAGATAGGTACAAAGAATACTGTCGGCCGGCCCTCTGGCACCAGCAAATTCAAATTTTGGGTCATTTTTAGACTTATGCAAGTCTAAGTTACAAATGACAATAAGTGGTCAGTCAGTCAGTCAGTCATTCAGTCGAATAGGTACAAAGAAGAAAGTAGGCTGGCCCTCTGGGATCAGCAAATTTTTGGGTCATTTTTAGACTTATGCAAGTCTAATTTACAAGTGACAATCAGTCAGTGTATCAGTCAGACAGGTACAAAGAAAAGTGTAAGCTGGCCCTCTGGCGCCAGCAAATTTAAATTTTTGGGCCTTTTTTTGGACTTCTGCAAGTCTAATTCACAAGTGACAGTGGTCAGTCAGGCCATGTCCGAATTACTTGGCTACATGTGAAGCGGCTGCAGCGGCTACCATAGACAGGAGTGTAATTTCAAGCCGTAGACAAGTAATTTAGACACGGCTTCAGTCAGTTATGTACAAAAGAGGATTACAGACTGGCCCCTCTAGGATCAGTATAATAAATTGCAACCTCGTTCCCCATGGGTACGATCTTGCTGCGCCATGTTGTTTCCCATCATGCCTTGTGCGATCTTAACCCCTGGAATTGTGTAATTTAAATGTGTCAAAATATGGCACATTATAATTAGGCTGCACTTTATCCGTTTTACGTGCCGACGCCATCTTAAAATGTTAAAAGTTGTGATTTGGAAGAATCAATCCTTTCAAACATAACGCTTGGACGTTGCGTTAAGCAAAGATTTGTATTAAATGTACGTACCCCTTTCGTCCCTGTACAACCAAAGATACAGGTTTTTTTTAGCGAAAAACGAGGCTGCCATAATCCCTATCATACAGGCATCGCGACTTTTGAATAACAATTTTTTTTCGTACATGACGTTTACGTGCAAAGCACGCGAGCGCATTATGGGCGCACCCAGCGTGCAATCTTCAAAATGCGCGCGTAGTATGCTGTGAATAGCCAATCAGCGTAATTTACGTCATAATCACGGCCAGGGGTTAGTGTAAGGAACGCGCATGCGCCCATGGAGTCGAGGCTGAATAAATTGTATACTTTCGTGTTGTCCAAAGGTTCTTTCCTTACCTGTAACGAGTTCTTCATGTCCCTGGTGATGGGCCGGCAGTCATCGCTCAAGTAAATACACAGGAAGGATATCGTGACCGTTACCAAGGCAACAATCATGGCTTCTATCACACACGAGTACCGAGAGTAAACATATCTGGGAAGAAAAACAATTTGGAGAGTAAAGCTCTGGTCAGTAAACATCTTGACAACGGCTAATTTTTTTAATGCTATTTTAATGCTATTCGGTACTTAAAAATGATACTCTGTTAACTACACACCTGAAAAACTAAAAGTTGAACATCATTGTGGTTAAACTGTATTCCGGTTCATAAGTTTAACACAGCTGAAAGAATTTCAACATGTGTCCCCAATTTTGAGAAATGTGCGTCTGAAAAAATGGAGACTTTTGTTGGACCACCCTGTATAACAAGCTAAAATGGTTAGTTATCCAAAGAGAAATTGTGTTTAATACAATATAGAAGCAGTGTACAACTAGTATAGTACAAACGTAAAACTCTTAATGATGGATTTACATCTCTATTATACATGTACACATCATATTTCTGCAATGCATCATTGTAGTACATGCTTAATTCACAATATATTTTATTACTGTGACAACAATCTTTTTCCGGGGGAAATCATATTAATATACACTGTACTGTCACTCAACTATTCTCACTATGATTTCACTAATATTTCACTAAGTGTTTTCACTAAAAATTAAAACACTATTTTCACATCTAATAACTATTTGCATATCTTCATATTCTGCTACTTTTATTGTTAAAGTATTCAGTAAGTATTTTAACTACAAAATAATAATATACATGTAAGGGAATTTTGACTGAAATTCTATCACTGTACTAATCTTACACAAAACAGTCATATACTTTTACTATGAATAATGATAGTCTATCTGAGAGTACTCACTTTAGTCTGAAGATTGACAACCTATAGTTGATTGAATTAAATATTGCACCGAATAACCCGCCCAAAACTCCCATCAGAAGAAACACTGGGATTTCATAGCTGAAGTACATTAAACCCTGCAAAAGGAAAAAGACAAAAGCCAAACAAACCTTTAAAAGTGCAAAGAGAAACTACTATTTTCAACACAACAGTTGGTGTTAAATTAATTTCTGGTAGCTTTAAAAAAAGATTTTCTGACATTTTTGCTGCATACATTTTGGCACACAAAGTTTAGGATGGTGTTGCCAAATGATTTGAAGATGCCTATTTTACTTCGTATTGAAAGTAAGTACAAAACATGTTGATAAAACCGAAATCATAAACAAATCATAAAAAAAGTAATAAAATAATACTTTTTTCTGAGGAATATGGAAACAAAAAACAGAAACTGATAGCGAATATTCTCTCCATGCACAATGCGAAAAATCTTGATACAAGAAGTCGGATAATTTGAAACAAATTTAAAAAAAGTCCTACCTCAAAAGGACCAAAATTGATGAGGCCAGGATTGGAGAGATTCCAGGGCTTTCCCTGCCAGAAACTTAGAAGAACATTGAGGGTAAATGTTGAAATCATGGAGGCGAAGAACTACAGAAAAAAAATTAAATGAAATTGTTTATTAATTCAATAAATTATAAACGGGCAAGGAGGCCAACTCTGGCAGGCTGGTTCAAATTTGTCAACTAGATTTACCCAAATATGCATATTAATAGGATGTCCAGCACCCGATTTCACGAAGCGCTGCGACACGTCGCAACTCAAGTTACGACGTGTAACACGTCGCAACTCCCGACGCGTCGTATCATCCATTTCACGAAAGTTGCGATGTGCTGAACGGCTTAAAACACATCGCAAGTTACGACGAACATAGTGGTCATCGCAAAATACCAAGAGTCCCTTTCCAAGCCAGTTTGATGCCATAAACATTACAAAAACAAGATTATAATACCGAGGCAATGTGTGTTAAGTTGTAAATAGAAAATTCATCGAATAATTATGAATTACACTGGAATATTGCAGTTGAAATTTCAAGTTAGTAGCTATACAGTCCACTGAGAACTTGTTTTCCTTCAAAATTGCATCGCATGGGCACCATTTTGTTTTACGTTTTAACAAATTTCTAGCTGAGATCCGACGACTCTTTGTTGAATATCAGACGACTATTTACTGTACGCTGACAATATACATAAAACAGTCACCGAGTTGTGCTATAAATACACCTACGACGCGTCGCACTTACGACGTGTTTCGTGAAATGGATCGCAGGATGCGTCGCAGCTGTGACGCATCGTAGAGATACGACGCGTCGCATCGCTGCGATGCATCGTAAGTTACGAAGAGTTTGATGAAATCGGGTGCAGGGCTTTAGAGAAATAATGGTGTTTATTCAATCACCGACGCTAGGCAGCGGATTCGTGGACTGGTTGGAAGTAGTCCTGACTTCTAATCAGGTGATTCAAGTTCGAATCCCATTGAGCGTTTTTCGCTTCTTCTCATCTTATCTTTTAAATAACACAAGTGAAGGGGGAACACTTTTCACAAGCCTGACAAGACGTAAAGCCTATGCTGGGTTTGAGTTGTCGAAAAACCAGGCATTTAAATATGCGGTTCAGTAAAATAGGCGCCCGGACTTGTGGCAACTTGCACAGTGTTGATAGGTTTTCAGGTGATGCGTCACATGACCATGTCTGAGTCAGGTGATTTTGGCTGACGAAGAAGCATGCAAATTTCTTTCCGTAGGCGTGTGAAGCAATTGCCATGAATGACTCACTATTTCGATTGGGAAAGTTATGTTTATTCATGAGAGAAGAACAATGACGTCAACACGATTGTTATTATTTAGTCAGCTTGTTACATTTAAAGTACAGCTGCTGTCAAGCTTGCCACAGTAGCCTAGTAGATAGTGAGATAACTTCGCCCACCTATATAAAATATGCGGGTGGCACAGCCGATTTCAGAGAAAACTTCCCGACAAAGAATGCTGTGGGCAGCTTTGCGGAGGAAATGTTGATGCTTAATGGTTGTCCTTGGCTGTAATAGGGAAACAACATCGTGTGTGATTCTTACATGGAAATTCCTTTCTTGTTGGTTTAGCAATATGTTACCATGTAATTTAAAGCCTCTTCAAGGAAGGAAGTGAAAAAAGAAATCACTCATCCAGCCATTCAGTAGAAACAGGAAAACCACTTTTACTTTCTATTTTACATACATGTACTTCCTTTGGGGAGTGTGGCCTAGTGGTCGGGGTTCGTGACTCATGATCAGAGGGTCAGGGGTTCGAATCCAGCTGCTGGCCATACGTTGTGTCCTTGGGCAAGCCTTTTCAACCCCACTTGCCTCTCTCCACCCAGGAGTATAAATGGGTACTGGCATTAGCTGGGGAGTAACCTGCGATGGACTAGCATCCCATCCTGGGGGAGTAGAAATATTCTCAGTCGTTTCATGCAACTGAAACCGGAGATAAACGCCGGCCTGATGGGCCACATAGGCTCATGGCAGACTTTACTTTTACATGCTTTCTGAATCGCAAGTAATTAATGAATTTACAGGGTTTGATTTGAATGGCAGCCCAAGCACAATGTTTGATTGGTTATTAGTCAAAATTAATAATATGTTCCCACTGCTTTCAGCTGGTAGTTGGCATCGATCCTTCTGTAATATAAAATTCGCTTAGCAGATTTTAACACTGCAGCATTTGAGAGACAAAAAAGTATGCTTACACGATTTCAACACTGTACTAATGCGAGTAACGCTGTGTCCGAATCGCTTGGCTACGGCTGGATATAACACATGAGTCTATGGGAAGTGGCTGTAGCCGCTAGCCAGTGGCTTCCATAGGTGCAGGTGGTATTCCCGGTCGTAGCCAAGCGATTTGGACCCGGCCTAAGATAGGAAGATAGGAACAAGTAAGCAAATAATCTTACAATCCTCCAGGTCAACGACTGGTTCCAGAAGCTAGCCCCCTCCTCCAGGGCAAACAAGACTCCACCCACCGGAGCACCGAAGGCCGCTGCCACACCAGCCGCAGCACCACCCGAGACAAAATCTCGCTTCTCGTGGTCTGAACGGAAGTACCTAAATACCTGTCAAAATGCAATGGAAAGGACAAATAAAACATTTTAATCTTGACACCTTAAAGGTAATATACAACACTTGCAAACATCCAAAAACAGATCTACCAAACTATTATGAAATCCTTACATGACTGTAAGTGGATAATAGTCTCAAGCATCCTGTGAAATCGTGGCACCTGGTGTGCTGTCATTTTCAAGAAAAGTGGAATTTTTGTATCTATTTCCAACGATGGATGGCCGATCATCGTTGGAAAAAAACCTGACTCTTTTCAAATACTGCCCCCAATTTACCAAGTTTAGTTGGTCCACATTTTGTTTGCAATCGGTTACACATCCGCGAACAGGTGCAAGCCAGCTACCGGGTTCCCTGACCTGACAATTCCGGACGTCTAAGTAGGGCCAGGGAACCAGACTACTAGAAGTGCATTTTTTCCCTTTGTTTTTCCAGCACCTATGTGCACAAACTTCAAACAGGTCAGTGTAACAAATATTTGCAAATGAAATACAAACCCCCAAATCCATCCATTTCTGAAAACTACATGTTGAGAAGAAAACTCGGTCTTCAACATTTTTTTTTTATAGCAGAAAACTGCAATAAATTTTGACATTTACCTTGAAATCCCTTTTGAATGTTGTTGACCTTCCCTGAGATACGCCAGCTGCTATGACGGAACCAGAATGAATCATTGGGCCTTCCTGCAGTGAAACAACACATCAGAAGGGCTTAAACTTCAGCCTTCATGGCAAAAATGCCAAACAGTAATGTAACAAAGCTTTGCCTCATCCTCTTTGTGGGGAAGAGGCTTGGTTGGCCCATGGAAACTTCACAGACGAGTCGTCCACTTCATGGGATAAACTCAGCTGACGAGTCGTCCACTTCATGGGATAAACTCAGCTGACGAGTCGTCCACATCATGGGATAAACTCAGCTGACAAGCCCTCCACTTCATGGGATAAACTCAGCTGACGAGTCGTCCACTTCATGGGATAAACTCAGCTGACGAGTCGTCCGCTTCATGGGATAAACTCAGCTGACGAGTCGTCTACTTCATGGGATAAACTCAGCTGACGAGTCGTCCACTTCATGGGATAAACTCAGCTGACGAGTCGTCCACTTCATGGGATAAACTCAGCTGACGAGTCGTCCACTTCATGGGATAAACTCAGCTGGCTCTCAACTGATCTTTTCTTAGTACGTTTTCTGCTAAACCACTCTGAGTGGACCAACCATGCCTCATTGGAGCAAAGACTTAAAAAGCAGCAAACACTTAAATTCTGAAGAACTTAAAACTGTTACCTTTCCTACAGACAGTCCTCCCGCTACGGCGAACGTCACACCAAACATTTTACAGATTAGTGTTCGTATCCGGACAACGTGCGGTACCTTGACGCCATTCAGATAACACTTGATCTGCGGTATGCCACTTCCAGCTGCAACAGGCTGTTCGTAAAAACCAAAAGATTGTACTATTCAGAAATGAATCTGTGGAGTCAGTTTGCCACATTTTACTTCAGGATCAAACTGAAAAGGTATTATTACCCCTGACTGGCAGGATTATAGTAATTTTTGGATCTATCCCGACACACTTAGGATTGTACGGTGCCATGATACTAGACAGCACAACTTCATGCACTGAACTTTCATTGACTGTTCCTAGAACATTGACTTTGCCTTTATGCCATTGTAGAAATTGAAAAACTAGTTGGGAATACTCTTCAACAAATACTTGGGATACATACATGTTTTTATTTAATTAGTTAATTTACTCTTGACAGGTGGAAAGGAATGCCAAGATGAAAAAGAGTACAACTTTGTGCAGTTCACAGGCCAAATAAAAAAAAAACACGTTTAGCGTCCCCGCCCGCTTCCTTTTTGGACACCGCCTCCTTTTTTTTTTTTATGATTTTTTTTCCAAATTTTAAACAGTGACATCATTTTGACCTGTTTGTCTGTTGCATCTAGCCCATCTGGTATGTCATTTCCTGAGTCCAAGTGGTGGCCATGTAAAACAAAAGCTGGTGGCCATCTTGAAAAATAGCCCGGTCGGGCGGCCATTTCAGAGAGAGCGAGGAAAAAAAGGGCCTCCTCCTTCCTTTTTTTCAAAAAGGCAGGACGCTAAACATGTTTTTTTTTATTTGGCCTAAGAGAATATATTTCTCTAAATCCCCTCCCACAACCTCTTCTAAGCCCCACCTCTCCATAGGCGACCATGACGGCTGCAATGGATACAAATAGGACATCAATGCCCAGCCATATGATGAACGGAACCAAGATGTTTGTACCGTCTATGTGGGTCACCAGATCTGAAGTTGGGGTCACTCAAAGTCAAGGAAATATACATGTTATGGTACCATTAGGAGACACCTTATCGTAATTTCTTCGTACGATGGGAGACATCGGTCATTAGGGAGAAATTTTCATGTCTCCCTAATGACTGATGTCTCCCGACATTTTCATGTCTCCCTAATGTTGCAGCCCCCCTTTAGAGGCACAATTTTACTGTCCCAATTAGATTATATTTTACTGTCCCAATTAGATTATATTTGGTGCTTGTGGTCTAATTACAGGTAGTAAACATGGTAAACATACAGAAATTCAAGGAAAAAGGACATTGGAATATTGGGTTAGGGCACATTTAGGCCTAAGTTTGAAAAATTGTGTGCACAAGTCTGTGGGGATGTCTCCCAAATGTCCCATCCAGGGTAATTACTATACATGTAATCATTTCAAAAGCTGAAATGGAAAACAAAAGTCTGAAATTGCTCAACACTAAAAACATACATTTCTGCATGTTGTTTGGTCTTAATTGATGAATAGATTATTTTAACATTATTTGGTTAGTCGCTCAATACAAATAGTTAAATATCAAGGCTCTGCTTACCGTGGAAATCATTGTGAATTCTAAATAACATTGAAAAGTCCTTGCTTACCCATGAAATACATGTATGCTGAGATTCATATTATTTGACCCTCACTCTTCAAGGTGTATCACATTAAAGACAAAAGACCAGGCTTTCCAATACTTTTTGTTTCATCTCATTTGCTTTTGTCAATCCAGAGATAACTCCAGTTTACTGCGGAACACAAAAATCGAGTTTGTGCCACTTTCTGGTTGAGTGAGAACGGTGAAAGAATTAGTGTATTTCATTAAAACATGCAATAAATATTTTTATTTGTTTATTATTTATGAAAAGAAAATATTTATCATTTAACTTATTATGTCGACTATTAAAGCTTGTATCGAGAAAACCAGACTTCCTTTGTGTACTTTAATCTGTGTTTTGTTTCTTTTGCCAAGTTGCAATCTTTTGTGAGCTTCAAGACAGCATGGCACAGTACTCGAAACAACTCTGCCCATGCATAAAAGTGGCACAAAATCGATTTTGGTGTATCGCACTAAATTGATTATATCTCTGAATTGACAAAAGCAAATAAGATCAAACAAACACTATTGGAAAGCCCAGTCTTTGTTCTTCAATATTATGCCAAGTAAGAATGACTTATTTTGAAATTTCATATTTAACCAATTTTTTTTTCTGATTGTTCCATTTTTTTTTTAGACAGGCTGTATTAATGGTTCTTTATGTGTCAATATAAATTTGTACTAAAGTGCTTCATGGAACCAAAGTTTAATAGTAAGTTGTCCAAAATGCATCCTTTTTATCAGCAACAACTGTCTACAACTAAAGGAGCTTGATGCTGCGAAAAAGATTTCATCAGAATAATCAAATGGAATTTCGCAGAACTATCACTATACTGATGGAAAACAAACGGAAAAAGTCTTCAAAATATATCCATCTTATCAGCAATATTTTACATCTGAATAGACATAGGCCAAACAAATAATACTTCTGCTTCCGATTACATGACATTTGAAAATAGTGTGGGTACCTGTAGGAAGGGAATTTTATTTTGGGGGGGGGGAATTTTGTGTGTGTTGATCATATGTACACATAACGTAGGTATCTGCGTGTAGTCAAGAATAAAAGGTAGTAATTGAAGGCTTTTGGTTTTTTCCCCTTTTTTTCCGAATAAACAATTAGGGTAGGGGCTGTCAAAATAGGGTATGTACCGGTAGGGTAACCGGAACCAGAGCTATCATTTTTTTTTGCCTTAACATGAGAAACAGCTGTTTTTGAATAATCAACTTGAGATTATCACAAGTAGTCTTGATTTCGAACTTAAAAACTTGTCGTTTTTCCAGCATAAAGGATACAAGCCGAGACAACGCCGTACTTCCATCCAGCCAGGAGACTGATCAGGATATCAATGGTGGCAGCTACCATTGCAGTCAGGGTACCAATCAGGAACATGATGACCCAGCGCGCCAGCCCTTTTCTGGCATGACCCACCCTCTATAGCCGCAGAAAAAAACATGAGATGAGAATTAACAGTAAAGATGCGTTCCCCGCACCTCGTGCTGTCAGTTGTCAAGCTGTTGTGTTTGTAGGGGAGTGTGGCCTAGTGGTTAGTGTTCGTGACTCATGATCAGAGGGTCATCAGGGGTTCGAACCCAGCTGCTGGCCATATGTTGTGCCCTTGGGCAAGCCGCCTCACCCCACTTGCCTTTCTCCACCCAGGAGTATAAATGGCTACTTACATTAGCTGGGAGTATCCTGCGATGGACTAGCATCCCATCCGGGGGAACAGAAATATTCTCTGTTGTTTCATGCCAAGGAAACCAGAGATAAACGCCGGCCTGATTGGCCATTATGGCTCGTGACAGACGTCACTGCTAAAGAAGTCCTCACAAGTAAGAAGGGGGTTGTAGGTTCGAGTCCCACCCAAGCAAGCTTGTGATTTTTTTGCAAGCTCTTACGCAGCACTGAGCTTACAGTGCTAATAAAAATTTGTGTTGGTGGAGGGCAAAACCCAGTACTTGATTGTCCAATTTTTGTTAAGAATCAAACAGGTTAAAGGCCAGACACTAGCAGTACCTTTCTCACAGACAATGATAGTGTTGAAAAGTTTTTTGGGGGGCAGTACTTTTATTCATTTTTCAATATTGTTAAAAATATAAAGCATGTGCCATAGAATTACACATGTACAATGATGTTGGATCATTGTGGATTGCACTTGCAGGAGGGTCTGCGCAATAATAGGAAAAAAACTTGAAGTTAAGGTTACAGGAAGTTCATGTTGATATTGGGTTAAAATCCGACGGGATTAAATGAATGAATAAAGTACAGCTGAATGCAAAATCGAAAGAATAACATGTCCAAACACACTTCAAGGTTATAGTTCTCATTCGAGTTTGGGGCATTATAAATTGTCAATTCAGCATTCATATTTCATCACAGCGTGTCATTCCAGAATTCCCAGCTCAAAAACGGAAATTTGCTTTCTTTCACTTTCACTTTGCCAAGGCAAAGGTTTTGATTATTTAACACCATAGGAAGTTTGTATCTGTTAGCAATTTGAACACGTACAACACAATTTCACTGAATATGTTCAAAATCAAATGATGGTTTTTCGGGCATATCAAGTCATTCAAATTTATACAAACACAGGCCAAAACAGGATGTTTACAGTTGACAACAACTTGCCTATAAGTTGGTTGAAAGTAAGAAATAGCGTCGGTGACCTTTTTCAGATTGATACATCCATGCAAATTTATCCATGGCTGTAGGGAGAATTCACAGGATCTTATCAATGCCTAAAGCAAGGTTCAAAGTCCAACTAATTCTCCCTACTATAACTTCTGAAGGGAATGAAAGTATCAATCCAAGTTTGTTTCCTTTTTTTCCTTTTTTAAAATTAACTAGATACAATCAGTTTGATCTGTTGTCCGAGACCGCTTGACGCTTGCAAAGCACGTCTTAAAGTCCAAATCTCCACTGGTGTCCAGACAAGGAGCCTTACAAACTCCCCTAGGGAATGGTGCTCGGGGAACCAGTGAGTTTTTTGCACTGTTCAATCGCCAACGGGCGGGAGGGGGGGGGGGAGTACTTAAAGCAGGGTTAAGGCAGGATTTGAGAGGATTGTTACCCTTGCTCCTAGTTTGCTCTCTTCCTTGATATACAGCCAGTTCTCAGCTTCGTCATAGTCAAGACTCTATATAAATTCAGAAACAAGATTTTTTTAGACATTTTATTAATCTAACCAACAGCCTAAATGTGCATACATGTTGGTTCCAAATTTGAATTTTTGTCATCCATGTCATTATGCTTTTCTCATACTATAAAAAAATACACACATTGTTACATGCAGAACAATTTGAACAGAATTTTAAAAGAAAATGAAAGAACGATGAACAACTGGCTTAAAATTACACCAAAAAAACCCAATCGTGGGTTTTGAAATACTAGGAAATGTTTTCCACAGGCTGGTTGTATAAAATAGCTTGCATTATTTGTTGGTGAACCTTCATTGTCCAAATACATGTTACTCAGTTTAAATTCCATTTGGCAAAATTTTCACCGAAAAAGAATGAAAAATGTAGTATTTTTAAACATTTCAAAAAGAAAAGGTCCTAAAGAACAGAGTATTTCTCCAGATTTTGTTTATTCGCCAAAACTTTCACTCTTAAACTGTTTATTTGGAAATCCTGTGTTATCAAAACTTTCCACGTTGTTTTCTTTATCTCGGTGTGGACTGATATACTATAACAGGAAAAGTGTTTCCATTGTATTGACAAGCTACACTTCCTCAATGCTGACATTAGTAAATACTTTCATGACTGAAATCAATCAGTTTTTCCAGCCTCATCGTCCCAACAGAAAAACAAAAGTTGAGTTAATAAGGTATTTGTGAATTTGGAACTGCAAATATACTTTCAAAAATTTCATTTTTTTTTTATTTTACTTTTTTCCTGATGTGCTAAAGTTAAAATGTTTGCAGGAAATTTTCTTATTCTGTATTAATAATTAATATACATAAATTGAAATCAATTTCAAGCAAATGAATTTTCAAAAATTCAATAAACAACCTTGTTATTGAAGAAACAAACACAATAGTACCTCATATTTGGCAGAGAGAAGCTTTGTAGTTCCTATTTCTTCTGGGGCAGTGTCGACGTCCTGTTGAAACAAACACATGCAGGTTAACCATGTTAACTTATAGGCAATTAGGTGTAAAAGGTAAATGACAGTTTTTACTAATTTTAAATGAACAAAAGAAACTAAGCATGAATTTGTGGACATGCACACTCAGGTCAACCTCAAATCTGATTATTACATGCACATGCCAACGTGATTTATACACATGGGCAATTCCACGGTTACTCACGTTACATTTTTGATGTACTTTTGAGTTTCCTTGGGCTGTAATTACTTACTGAAAAGGTTTAATAACTGTTATCCCCGTGGTAGATAGAGTAGATCTAGACCTACCTAAGCACCAAAGATGACATCCAGAAAAATGTGCTACATGTATGTACATTTGTATGATAAACAAAACCCACAAAATCGGTTACTCACGTTACATTTTCGTAACGTGAGTAACCGATTTTGTGGGTCTTGTTTATCATACATAACACATTTTCCTGGAGTAGGTCTAGATGTATCTACCATGGGGATAACAGTTATTAAACCTTTTCAGTAAGGTAATTACAGCCCAAGGAAACTCAAAAGTACATCAAAAATGTAACGTGAGTAACCGTGGAATTGCCCACAAACATGTTCATGTACATGTATACCGGTAGTCATGACATTTATTTTGGAAAACCTGACGGCCCGAACAATAGCAAGGTCTTTTTAAACTTTATTTGACCAATTTCAGTAGGAATAAGTGTTTCAACTCTTCAGGGAAAATTGAGATCAAGACAAGACAAGTCCAGACATTTTTATTATGAACTTCACATGCGTCAGACATTGTAGTATTAATAGGCCATCAGCCCGAGGGTTTGGTCAGTATCAAATCAGCGCATAAATGATTATAGTGCGCATGCACAAGGTACATATACCGCCCCTAGAGTAATAACAAGCATTTTGATGGACTTTTTGAAAAAACTGGTGATAACACCCAAAAAGCTGCCACCGTTGCAATGCTATCACATATTCATAAATACCTCAGACAGTTTAGCTATTCCTATTGGTCGAGAGCCCGTCACGTGGCCGGTATTAAACGGATGATAAAGACATGGCTAGCTGGTCTTAAACACTTTTCCAGTGTCACAATAAAATGTGGACTCCTAAAAATCCAGTGCCTCTTACCGTTTCATTGGTTGAACGTTCACAATCCTCACGTAGGCATGCGCAACACTACAAGCGAGTCAGAATTTTATAGTTCTAAATTCAAAACGCAACGCCCCAGGTGCGTTCTGCGTGACATCGCGCAGAACATGTTACGCGCGCGTCAATCTCCATAAAAGGGTTGTTTACATCTTACTCGCCAGCTGAACACTCCATTATTTTGCTAGAGGGATGTTTCAAAAAACATGAAGTGAACTTGTTGAACAAAATCGGGATTTTTTGAACGAAGTATTTGATATTTTTTTACGGATAAGGTATTTATGAATGGGAATAAATATGTGCTCGGTCGGTATTTATCACTCTGTTTAATACCGCTTAGAGTCTGGGTGCTGATAATTACCCTCGCCTCCGGCTCGGGTAATTATCAGCACCCAGACTCTAAGCGGTATTAAACGAGTGATAAAAACCTCCGGAGCACACATTTATTCCCTTATTTTCCACCTCTGGAGGTGTATACCGGTCGGTACTTTTTGCCAAAAATCGCTATGATGATTATTCCCCTCATTTGATCTTGATACCGGTGGCCAAAATCGGGCCGAGGCTGATGGCCTATACATGTAAGTCTTGCGATAGTGCTGTCAAATCGTGTCCTAAGTGCACATTGGTTCGTTTAAGGGGTTGGAATTGTGTTTGTTCAAAGCGTGGCTGTGCATCTAACGCGAGCGATCAAGTGCAATGAAAACGGTCGGAGTTTGGAAAATTATTGCTTTGGTTTGCCCCTCGAAATAGTATTTGTTCCTGGAAGTGGGGATTTGTGTGGGAAATGGATCCAATTTGCGGGAAGTAAAGCCTTGAAATTGTCCTGAAGTGGATCTTATATTACTGGTAAATTCACTTTTAGTGTTTTGCCGTTGCCTGATATTTTGTATTGATTTGTTTTTACACTCGATTTACACGAATATCACGACGGCAAATCTTGCGACAGTCTTGCAAATTCACACGCTTGCAAATGCAATAAGGCATGTAAGGAGATAATCTGTGTTTTTTTTTGTGTGTTTGGTATATATAAAACAGTACCCACATTGTTTTCCCTGCCCATTCAAACGTGAGGCGGCCCACCTCGCTACTTTCAGTGACCACCTCGCCCAATTTTTGCCAATATCACCACCTCGCTGTGAAGATTGGCAATAAAGGAATTACTAATCGAAAAATGTTCATTTTTTGTGATTTATGAGCGTTTTCCTTGACCTTTATGTATCAAGAACTCACAATTTGGATGTGTAAATGGAATCATCTCGCATTTTTGTAAGGGCAGCATCCTTCTGAGTTTGCAAACTGCATCAATTTTGTTTCAATCATCAATTTGAATTTTTACCACCTCGTTCATTTCATTAGCCAGGGGAAACACTGAGTACCCAACTACAAATTTTCATATTGAATCGGTATTTTTGTTTTTTTTTGCAACTGATAAGTTCCCACATTAAATTGTGCTCATATTGAATTTTATTTTGAATTAGGAACACCCGATTACATTTTTTGTTTACTCATTTTGTCAATATCAGCTTAGTACATTGATACATGTATGCTTTGCAGTATTTCTGCTTGGTACTGGTTGGTGATATTGGGTCCTGAAGATTTGGTGTGAACGAAAGTCGTACATGTACATGATGTATACGTATACATGTGTACATGTGTACATGTACATGTGTAGGTACGGTACTTTTAACATCCTACATGTTATATACCGGTACATGTACATGTACACAAATACTGAACATGTACATGTACTTGGTACAGGATGGGACTGTACAGAAACACTATAGAATAAATGTCAATTTAACAGTAATGGAAAAGCTCAAAGGAATCTTTGGAAATGCACTTTTGTGTCCCATTTAACCTACTTTCAATTTTCGTTGTGCCGTTTTCAAGGGTACATGTATTTTGGTTCCTTTCTGGTTTTTATTATAATGTAAATTTCCATATTCATGAGCAACAGTGTGATGTCATTTCAGGCAGAAACCTCAGTGTAAATTCAGCACCAAAAGTTGCCAGTATTTTGGAAATTTCGCTGTCGAAAATGTTCTTTTCTTTGGTGATTTGTTGTTGTGTCAGTTCATAGCAGTAAGCCAATGAGCAAACACTTTTCACCAATGTTTTCAATAAGCCAATTTCTTGGTTCACAATTTAAAAAGGAAACCCCTAAACTGAACAGTGTCTTACTGAAATGACATCACAGCAACAGCGCCTTAGTTGTCCAGAAAAGCATGGAAATTGTTTAATTGTTTAAAGAAAATTAACCAGGATGTCAAATGTTAGATGTTAAAAAGGGATGTCAAATAGTTTTCATACATTTAAGAGGAGTAGAAAGTTGCACAAAATATGTTCCTAAGAAAAATTCACTTCATGGACCCTTTATGATGCCCATTCACTTCCATTGGCCATAGGCTTGTTTGTATTGAGGTTTTACATACCTGGAGTAATACCCCTTTAATTTTCTGGTAACTTTAATTAAATACCAAGTTACTTAAACCAAAGATACAAAAAAGAATTTCCCCTTTATTAAATTGAAACTGCAATAAACCTCAATGTTTAAATCACCTGTCACCTAAATCACCTACCGGGTAGCACCGGTAGATTTAATACAGCTTAAAATGTAAACAAATGTATTAAAAGACAGCTTTAATTCAATGATGGCTTCGAAATAACTTCAATGCAACTGCAGATATAAATAAAAAGTATCATTTTTAAAATAAATGTCATAAATGTTAAAGCATTTTCGTGTCTTGCCCACTGTCCAGATTAATTGTGTAGTATATCAGCAAATTGATGTAATACATGTACATCTTTAAGAGCATTTACAGCCAAAACGTGCAAGTACATGTATGGCATCGGGGGTGTCCAGATTCAGATTCAGTACCCTCAAATCATCTTAAATCCGTTGTTGTCTAAAAATGTTAAGTTGAACGTCATTTTCTAGGCCTCCTAAGATTTTCAGCTGACGGCCTATAGCCTAATGTAATAAAATGCTAAATTATATGTGGCAGTAAATTGCGGAAAAAAAAGCATCGACCAAAGAGGACTTTGGAATCATGTTGTGTATTGCCAAGCTTGCACTCATTCCCTTTCAAGTAAATGTACATGTATACATGTACATTCCATGGATTTGTTTGTGTTCACCTGAAACTTGTCTTAATAAGAACAGTATGTACACAAAAACCAAGATACCGGTAGTCCGTTCTTTCCATGGGCTCCGTGCTCAAACAAGAGAGGGCGCTCTTTTACCACTGTTGAAAGAGCAGTAGATTGGAACGACGTGTGCGTACTGGTTCCGCGCGTATAGCGCAAAGTACGCACGACTAATTGTTTTCTGCATGTGCATAAAGCCATAGCGTCTTCACGTGAGCATCAGACGTCATCAGCAGTGCGTTCATATCTCTCCCAGTGGTCTCTCCCAACTCTCCCTTTCTTACCGTTGAGGGGGGTAAATGTGCACGGAGCCCACAATGCAAGGTATGTCTGCTGCCACCTATTGGCCAAAAGCCCTTTTTTTTTTAAACCAATACAAAGAATACAATGTACCGTAGCTCTTGACAACAAAATTGATTCAACCAATTCGTCCCACATTGAACCATCATTTAAACATGTTTTTATATTTTGCAAAGTACCGGTAGACTTTACAATGTAAAAAAACCAAGGACTGCTTGTACAGGCACATGTACATACCGGTATGTATATTTGTACATTGTATGTTACAAAAAAAAAACACCTGACTTCCTACCGGTACATATTGTAAAAGGGATATTGATTTACATCTCTGTGTACTTTCAAAGTATTTAGGCACATGTGAACGTGACATGCCAGCAGTCAACCACCAAATGGTTGAAAGCTTTTTTAGAGTGGTAATGTTATCTGAAATGTGTCATGAGCCGAAGGCAAAATATTTATTGTGGTTCCATGTTTAACAGACACTGCGAGACATCTGAAACGACACAAACAATTTGGCCAAAGAACGAAAGTGGCGCCTGACGCATTTTGGACGGGGAGGGGAATGTTTGCAGAGATCCAAGCTGAGCAAAATCAAACACTGGTTGCTATGGAAACACATCGGCAATAACATAAAGTCACATTCCCGATTGCGGGTCTTGCTATCTGATTTTCACATCGGTGAGAGTTTTTGGTTCAGCTTGAGCACAAATCCTTCGCAGAGGTGAAATGCCATTTGGTATAAGCTGCAGGTTGTGGGTTCGAGTCCTGGCGGGGTCATGGTGCGTGTGCCCTTGGGCAAGGCACATTGTCACTCATTGCTTCTCTCCACACAGGAGTAAATGGGTACCTGTGAGGGCAGAGATGGTGTTTGTGATTGAATTACCGGTACATGTAGCTCTTCCTTGCGCCTAACAGGCTGCATCGAGCTGTATACTACCCAGGGAGCTGAGATGGTATTTGGAATGTTTCAGGTGCCCAATGAGCAGGGGTAATAATGATGTAGCGCCTTGAGCACCAGTCCTGGTGGATGCGTGTGCTTTATAAATATCCACTATTATTATTATCATGCATGTCATTGGTGCAATAATTTCAGTGTTTCTATATAATGTGACCGAACCATGTAGCCTATAGATGTATAATGAATGAAAAATCATCCAAAGCTACGTGTACATGTACATCTGAATGTACAGTTTTAAATCAAAAGCCGCTTTAAAACATTCTCATGTTTCACAATGATATTTACATACATTTATAGCTGCCATCTTTTTCTTTACCCAAACTATATTTTACAAAGTTTTACAAAATACAAAACGCAAATGATACATAATGTAGTCAATGACAACAATTTTAGGATTTTAAAGATTGTACAGCATAGGGAAAGGAACTGCTGTAAATTGATATCTATTTGACACTGAATTGCAGGAGTTTGCAACTGGAATAAAAAAAAAGGTATTGCATTGTGGAGTGATTTTCGTATTCCTCCAAAATAGACTGAAGTTCTATTGTATGGTTTCCTTGTACCTTTGATCTTATAAGTTATAGGCATGTGATAGACCTAGAAAAGTTCAACTCTACATACGTGCACGTAAATTATGCAAATGCAGTGCTGATTTTTATTTACACAGTGACTGAGGTGGTTTTATCGTTGAGATTATTAACAGTTCAATCATGAAGTGAATTTTGCTTGCGTCACAAAATCACATGACATATTTTTTCCCCTGCCTACATGACCTACACATGTACATAGTAGAAGTACCTCGACCTTTTTTTTGCACACGACAAGTGCCATGTGTTAAATTGTGACAAACTTTTGGCGTACGTGCACAGATAAATGTTGGACTCTGGAAGCACTTGAGTGTGATAAATAGCAAAGCAGAGATAAAACAAATGGAAATGAGACTTGTATATTTTCAAGTAAATAAAAACATTGATGATAAATAAAAACATGTTTTGGCTCTACCGGCATATATATTCAAGTTTTGGGGAAGGAATGGGGGGGGGGGGGGGGGGGGGGGGGGGGGGGGGGGGGGGGGGGGGGGAGGGGGGGGCGGGATGGAGGGAGGAGTTTTTAGTTAGAAAAAGGCAAGCAATGGGATACATGAGAGCAGACTGGCTCCTACAATGTACATGTAGCAACTTTTTAAGACTAAGATATAATGAAAGGACCAATATTTATAAACCAACTGCCAGTAAGCAAATGTGATCTTATTATCAGAAAATGTAAATGGAAACGTACATTGTATTAGCCAAATGCCCCCTACATGTACATGTACCGGTGCCTACACTCACTGAAATGTTACTAACTACATGTAAGCGCCGTCGATATCAGAATTTCAATAATCAATATATCAGAAATGTTTATTCGAGAATATTCGATTTACTGTAACAATTATCTCATGTAAAAGTGAAAGACGACGCTTTGATTAAACAAAGCAAAAAAAGTCCCAACTTTCCACGGCTTTCTCTGGAGCATATTGCTCAAACTTTTTAAAACAAACCTCAGCACTGAGAGTTTGTCCAGAATCGTGGGCGTTGTTTTTTATAGTTTATATTATATCCGCAATGTTTTTCTGTTTAATTTCACCCTCTAGGGCCAATAATATTTTTCAGAACTTACCGTCGTATCTTTCCATGACATTGTACGTCGGTAGCGAAGCCCCGATGCGTGACGCTGGCTGGTCCCCGCATCACCAGATTCTTCGGTTTCTGCTGATCCTTGCACTGAATGCGTTGTCTGTTGTCATGGTTGTTTTTAACAAAATAAATTTAAAACAAAGAAACATATCTGGTTATGACGAACACATTTGGAAGGGGAGAAGGTGGGGGTTGCTTAAATTAGTTTGAATCAGAGTTGTAATGACTCGAGTCAATGACTTGACTTGAGTCTGCCTCGAGTCACAATTTTTGGCGGCTCGACTTGAGTCCCGACGGGTATTGACTTGACTCGAGTCACTGTAAGCAACTGACTCCTACTATCACAAGCTCTGTAGAACGGCCAGAGCGGTAAACGTCCCCTGGATGCCTGAAACTGATCATGCTGATTGTAGCGATTTTACTACTGACTTTGTTTGAGATTATCTTCTCATCTAGGACAGAGATTTCCAAAGTTAGGGTACCTGCTCGTAGAGGAACTCATACCTTTTGCCGAAACACGTTCCTGTATCTAAAATTCTTCATCCAACTGGTCAAGAAAAGACGATCAGTCTTCAGCTCCCAAAAACATCGTCTCAAAAACGTTCCTCCATGGGATGTCAAAATGGCGGACTGGTTTTGCATTCAGTTTTGGTCAAAAGTGCGCCTGCATACATGCACTTTTGACCAAAACTGAATGACAGGCAACAGCCGTACAAATGCACGTTGTCAAAATTTGATGCAAGCTAGTGAGGGCGCGATTTATCACAACCCATGACGTCACATGCAACACGACGCTTTCGTGAACAATGGCTGTAAAAGTCGTCAGAATTCAACTCGAAATTACAAGATAACTAGACCTCTGAAGGTGCCGAATTTAACATTTTGTTGATATTAAGCAGTAGACGGCATTGTGTGAGTATAAAGTGACAAAATAATTGCCATTTCGAATGGATTTTCGGCTCCCTTTGCAACGGACTCTCCGTCCAACTTACCACATGTGGATTTGTGACGGTTAATACGGAGGTAGTCCAGTATTACCGTCACATTTATGGCAACCCGACGCCACTTTTTTCTTCATTATATCATCTCATTCTCAATGAAGGTCATTCATTGCAAAAATGATAATAAGATATGAAGTGGGGTGCTGTGGTCCAATGGTTACGGTGTTCGACTCGTGTGCCATGGTACATGGGTTCGAATCCTGACCGTGGGAACATGGTGCTGGTGCTCTTGAGCAAGGCACTTTACCACTATTGCTTCGTTCTTTGGATGGGACGTAAAGCCGTAGTTCCCGTGTGTTGTGTAATGCACGTTAAAGAACCCAGTAACACTTATCGCTAAGACATACATGTACATGTAAGAGAAGGGGTTTGCCCCAGTGTTTCTGGCAGTGGCCGCAGCACCTTTTAAACCCTGGTGCCACATGGGTCTCATATCTCTCATGCCCTTCATTCATCTAGCAATAGACATAACTCCCAGTGCCTTGAGTACCTCAGTACTCCGTTGCGCTAATGCCTGAATAGGTTTCTGCAACGTAGCCATACAGATACAGAGATACAGAATCTCGGACTGAGAAACATTTCTATAGAATACAGGGCCACTCCATTCTATATCCGCGCATCCATGGCTGCGTGGATGCGCAGTCGGTTTTCTATACCGCCCTCTATTGATTTAATTTACTTCATACCCACTCTGCATCCGCGCATCGAATAAAGCACCCTCTATTGATTGAAATTAACTTCATGCCCACCCCGCATCCGCGCATCCAGGCGTCCAATAAAGCGCCCTCTATTGATTAAAATTTACTTCATGCCCACCCCGCATCCGCGCATCCCAAGACGGAATGAGTGGTTGGGGTTGGTTTTAGATAGGGAAATAAAGCAGTAGGTCCTACCTAGGGTAAATACAGTAGAGGGTCCTGGGTAAATAAAGCGCCCTCTATTGATTACTTCATGCTCATCCACCCCGCATCCACCCCGCATCCAAGACATCCCAAGCCGTCTCACTCGGTATATATACTACGTATTTGTCAATAATTAACTCTTTATACCGCCCTCTATTTTTATACATCTACGTTCATACCGTACTACTATACCCGCGTACGCATAGGACAAGAGAACTTTCATATTTCAACGTTGCTTCGTTCTCCGCGTGCGCCCTCTATGTTTTTTTTATACATCTACGTTCATACCCGCGTACGCACAGGAGAAGTCTCATATACCAACGTACGTTGCTTCGTTCTCAAAAGAGTTCCATTCTACTGAACGACCCCACTCCTCACATCGCATCCAACTACAAAAAAAAACCTTTTCCGGCGTGGCCCTGCATTCTATAGTTACTTCCCAATTTTGTTAGGAAATCAAATGTACACATGTAGAACATTTTTTGACTCTCTGACTCCATTGACTTTGTACACAATCGCGGAAGTGGTGTCAGGTTGCAACATTTTTCCTACAAAGGATTCATGAACATATTTGAATTCCATTGCCAAACAACGTAGGACTAGGAGCCTAGATGATGATTGATTTGGGTGATTTTCCATTTGGGTAACCCTACCTCAATTTCGTCATGACTCCGCCTGAGATATCGCCGATCGCCAAGCAGCGGGACCCGATCGTCCTTCGATCGGTTCGAACGCAGTCCTCCTGTTGCCATATCCGACACGATTGGATTCTGTGGAAAGTTTTACATTATTACATTTACAAGAACTTCAAAGAGGAAGTTACTTTGAGTTTGACCAAAAAAACCGAAACAGTTCAGCTGTCAACATGCAACAATGCCGTGAAAATGGGGTCAATCACAATCGTACTCTACTCGAAGTGGTACGGTCAGGTGATATAAGTGTACACACAATTAAACGTAACAACTACCGGGTAACACGTGATAATGAATGGAGCTGTGTGTTTCTAAAAATAGCATGGCATGTGGCGATTGTAACTAAACTACACGTACTACACTGTGCTGCCTTCTAAGGAAGCCTGCACATACCACACGTAATTTCGGAAATTCGTTCCTTATTTCCCCGTTGTTCCCTGTGGCATAGCCTCCAACAGAAAACAAGTCGACTGTCCCTACTTATAGACGTTTGCGATTGCTCAACACAATAAATTATGAAGCTTTGTTCATTTTGTACGGCATTACAAAAAAGACTCTTCGTCCCATCTAAAATGTACTCTGGGAACTGAGGGCGCTCTCAACAAATTAAAAGAAATCACTTCATTTTTGGCATCTTAGCTGTGCGGCATACGGGTACAGATTGTCAAAATATATTTATATTGTGCTTTTGGTTTAGAAAAATCGCAGAAAGTATGCCTGTCGAATTGAAAACTTACCAAAGTCTTCAGCTGAAGTCGTAGGCTCATAATTGTGCGCTAAGCGTTTGCCAGGGGCATTGTCTGACGTAGATGCAGTATATTCTGTTAATTTCAGGACAAGATTTGTTTTGTTAAAAAAGCAAACAAACCAAACCAAAAAACCAAAAAACAAACAAACACACAAACACACCAACCCCAACATCCCCACACAAACAAACAAACAAACAAACACCCCAACAAACAAACAAACAAACAAACAAACAAACAAACAAACAAACAAACACCCCAACACCCCCAACAACTCCCCCACAAACCAAACTTGCTGGCCTCTTAAATCAAAATAGATTATAATCGACAATACATTTATCTATGATTATTTTGGTTAGCGAATACCAACCAAAAGGTATGAGAAATACAGTGTGGTCATTGTTAATTTACTGACAGACTAAAGCTATAAAAAATATTTGTATTTCTGGTCACCCGTCCGCAAAATCACAAAGTGTGGGGAGGGGGACACCCCCCGGCCCACAGCTCCTCTAGCGGCACTTGGTCTAAAGCCTAGGGCACTGAGGACCGGGGCCTTATTTTCTGGAGGAGGGGGCCGGCGCTCCAATAGGTATGTTCATATAGTTCCAAACAAAACTTCTGGTATGGGACCCGGAGCCGCCTGTCTCGAGTGGGGAGTGGCAGTGTCCTTCGTCCTCGTGCCACCCCGTGTGACCTCCCCCCGCCCCCGCCCCCCCCCCCGCGTCTCCCTAGTAAGAAACTTCCATAAAGAACTCTTGGGTTGAACTTTATTGACACTTAACTGTTCGCGGCAGGAAATCGCGTGCTTAACAAAGTGTCGAAGATTTCCCAAGTGACGGCCTTGCACTCGCCCAAGTTCACAATTACAAGAGAAAACTTCCAAATTGAGACATTAGCGCCTTGCTTCCGTCAAGAGATGCTGTAAACGAATGAAGTGAGTTCCCAACGGAACGTGATTACATTTTGGACAACATTTACACAATAAGACGAAGTGCATGGTGCATTTAGTGAACCCATCAAGATGCATGAACCACTCAATTCTTTTACTGCATTGGACTTCACAAAGATGCGGAGAGCTGAGGATATATATTCCAAATTATGATTTTTTTAAAGTTGTCTTTCTTCTAATGTTTTTTCATGATTTTTTCTCTCTGCTTATGCATTTATTAGTTGCCTTCCCCGAGTCCTTTCCTCTAAACTATAGTCGTTAGTAGACCAACGCAGCATCCGTGACCTATATTTCATTAAGTAGGCCTATCCGGTTCGTTAGTAAAAAACGTCATACACGCGCGCACACAACGATTACTATAGGGCGAACGGTTACAAGTTGCGTTAGCTTCCGGTTCTAATGGTTCCAGTGCTACTTACTGACCAATGGGCGTAAGTTTAGACTGAACTGACAAGAAGACCAGTGTGGATTGTTTTCCTCTATGCAAAACAGCTTACAAGATAAAATGCTATGTGACTGTATCAGCAGAAATGCTTGCTTAACAATTTTAGGAGTAAAATATTTAACAGCTGAGAACCCATCACCATGTACATCAATTCCACGACATTTTGGCTGCTATAACCTGTTTTTTTTCCCTATTAAAATATTTTCTATGCTAGCCTAGTAACTTACTATGCTTAACAGCTGTATGAACTAAGACCCAGCCGGGTTTAACTGAGCAATATTGTCAGTGTTATCACATTAAACCCGATTTTAAAGTGTACCAGACAGTACACACTCCAGGTGGGATGGATTCTGCTATAGGTTTCCTGTGTGAGAGATTAATATTGTACGAAAGTGCCAATTACACACTGAATGTCAACTGTCTAGTCGCATACAGCAGACTTTACTCTCCTAAAAGGACAAGATTGTTTCCGTCGTAAAAGCTGTATTTAAATTCCTACCTTACTGTAGACAATGTCACTCCACACGAGTAAAACTAGCGTCTGCAAAATGTAACCGGCAACTGTTAGTTTCGACGAGAATTGAGCATAATCATCATCATATCAGCATCCGATACCAGTAACTACACTATACTTCCTCTTCAAAAAAAATCAAGTTCTCGGTAAACGGTACAGGCGTATAGCTTGCACAGAGCCAAAACAACCCACGTGTGTGTATTTACATGACAAAAGTGGCCTTGTGTAAAACCAACAAAAGAATAAAGAGATTTTCCTATTGATATCGTTCCCATGACACGCACCAACGACCTCATGGATTTGGCTCCGGATTGAAACATGAACACCGGTTCGAAGTTCAAGTTTACCAAAAAAATGTTATTTTTGATAAATTGTCATTTAATTAAAACGTATGTTTTGCTTTATGTCCTCTAACCCCCCGGTTCATTTGAGTATACATGACCTTTTGAAAACTGTTTTCAATTTTAAATCCGGCACATCACAAGCCCCTAATTACATCCGGCACTTATAAAGTTAAAGCCCCTGATACAATTAAAAGATGTATATAATGTGGATGCTAAATCTATAGACAAGAAATGTACAGTACATGTATGTTTTATGGAGACAATTTTAGGCTAAATTTATTAACAGTTAAACATTAAAAACAATATATTTGGTCCTACCGCATCGATCGTCTAGTCTATGAAGGGGCCATGGTCTATTAGTACATTCAAGCAAATTCGCTGATTAATTAATATGCAAGATAACCGCATCTTGACCTCTAGGTTTTGACCAATCAGCGAGCGCTTTCTATATCGGGTCTTCGGTCATCACCCGTTGTCGCGTCATTGACATGGATAAAACCCCCAGACACAGCAACAAAGTTGTGTGACGCTCTCTGTATTACATTACAATGGTTGTACAAAAACACTGCATTTGAATTGACCAATCAAACATTAAGTCCTGATTTGGGAATGAAATGACGTCACGATCTAGTAAAGTCGACTCCGATTGGCTGATGCGCAAGATCGCATAAATCTGCGTTAGACAGGAGTCTGGGCTCCGTGGATATCGGGTGATACTCAGACTGGTGAGGCCCCACGAAAAAAGAAGAAAGATTCGCCCCAACTTTCCTCTTTGCGTAGCCTTGCATAACTTCTTTGTTGATAAGAGTCGAACTTTAAACATTTACCAAGACCTAGCTATTTTCTAAAACAAACTTTATTTCTCACAAAGTTGATGTTAGATTACGGCTGATAAAGGACTTAAGTTGAGAACAGCGATCAGATTTAAGGCCCGAATTTGACATATTGCGGAAAGACGCCAGAGGCAGTATTGGCAAATCACTTGAAAGATAAGTCATTCATTTTTCTTTCAAAGATATCCCAATCATTAAGCGACTGAGTAGTTAATTGTAGACGGAGGTGAGAATCTGCAGTGCTGGCCCTGATACAAAGAGTAGATATCTTCATATCTGCCGTTCAAATAGGCTATACACAATTGCAGCGTTCATTGTTACCCAATGGTCCGTCTAGCACACGGCTGTTTTGGATATAAAGATGCGGTATACAACTTCAAACAAATCAAACACAATGGGGTCATTATTCCTCAAAAATGTCGACATATTTTCCTCCATTGAGCCAAAGCAATAGTCTGAGTATCACCTGTTATCCGCGGAGCCAATCTCCTGTAAGCAAATGGACCCAGTACTCTTCCCGGGCGCGTCTCCTCGCCTATTAAGACAAATTGTTTTTGAAGAAAGCTGTTTATCAGGTAGCCCGAACGGCCGAGTGGTACTATTCGTCGTCCTCAATTAGCGGGGCCCCGCGATCGAATCCCGCTAATGTCTTTTTGGTTTTTAACGTACGCGTTCAGTCATTGATTATAAGAGATTTAATTTCCTGTCTTAAAGTACTTAGCTTAATCGGTAAGCACTGCTGCTGGTACTGTCCGTGAGTTCCAGGTTGGCGCCTTCGTACAGGTTCAGGGCATGTGGTCCACTTGGGGGATCAGGGCTTAGGGTGCCGCCCTGTTCCTCCCTTAGCTCTTTGCTTTTACATGGTGCCTGGCCCTCCGGGGTTATATGGATGGATAGGGAAGGAAGTGTGTATTGGCTGGGAACGCCGAGATCCCGGAAGAGCCCTAAGGGATTGGCTGGGGCATTGTTATGGCTCAGACCGATCCCTGAATGCTTGGCTAGCACATAACTTTTCGATTTTTTTTAATCCTCTATTTTATTAAACTTTAGTTTAGTTTGAAATTCACCTCTGTTCGGAAAACTATTGTAATAAAACTTATATTAAAACGAGACAAAAGTCTTCTTCATGGATTAAGTTAAATACACAGTACAAAATAAATGTACATGCACATGTACTTAATCTATGACTAATCAAAACGAAGCTTAGTTCCACCTATCAATTAACGTTTGTGATTTTCTATTCACTGCGCAATTTTAGATATTGATGTGAAACACTCATATCCGAAAAGGGTTATATAGCAATAATAGCAATTTAGAAAAGGAGTCTAAAGTTTCGGGACGAAACTCGAAAATAGCACGAGCAATGCATCTTTAGAAAATGTACCGTATGTTTCAAAAATTGATTTCGATGGACTGTGCATGAGCATTCTCTACGAATATGGTAATTCAGGCGCGGTTCTAGGGGGTGGGGGCTAAAATCCTTTGCTCAGCCCCCTCCCCCAAAAAAATTGCCAAAAAAAACCCCAAATCGAAATAGCAGTAGGTCTAGGGCATACTCCCAAACAAATATTCGCTCTAGCCGGAAAGGCGCTGATCCAGAGGTTTTTTGTGTCAAACCCTTCCCCTGTCTATAACGCGGAGTAATGAAAAAGACCATGACCAATACCATGGTCGTGATGCATGCTCAGACTAATCATCGACTACAATCCCGCCAAAATGGTTGGGACACTTGGAATAACCTTAGCCTCCCACGGTCATTCACTCCCCGCTCCCCCGGTCAATGTTGTTCTCTCCAGCTACATGATGGAGCACACACCACGCAACGAGAGACAACATTGACCGGGGGCTGGGGGGTTTGGGGCCCAGCGAGATTTGGCCAGGATTGTAGCTTAACGTACGGCACATTCCAAACTATACAACTGTTCCATACAGAATTAGAAACAAAATGAACACATATTACCCAATAATCTGTGAACTGAATGACACGCGCCCTTGTTAATAACTGATGGATAATTAGTTACTTATTACAATGAGCTATTCGAGTTTTATGTACATAATTCGATAAAATGCTTATTTGGAGTTAAGTTGTAAACTGCGTAACCGGACTTAATTCAGCGTTCCTTATGCCAAAAATACACGCTTTTCATTCGCCATTATAATTTTGCCGAGAAATTATTTATTTCCTAAAAATAATTATATAGCCTATTTGTTTCATATTATACACTTACAAAAACAAATTTTTCAAATCAAATGTGTTGTCACTCTTTTAGAGAAATTGAGGCCTATAAAAAAAACTTAAATAAGGCAAAAAAAAAAGTCTCCGGTTTCTGGTATGGAGCTTGTCCAAAAAGTGGTGCGGCGACGCGGCTTTTTTTTTTTTTTTACCTGACATTTTTGCTTCAAATGTCGACTGATGACTGCAAATGGTGCCCGACTAAACTTAGGGCAAATATATGGGAGTTCAGAGAGGCTACATTAAGCTTATTCTCGATCATAACCCCATCTAAAAACACGTTAAAATTGTGCAGCAGCAGAATTCCAGTCAAACCAGTGAGTTTGGTGGTTTTGAGACATCATCTTTCATTGAAAAAAAAACTTTTTCATTTTGCCGACGCGCATGGCTACGGCGACGCGCGCGCATACCAGAAACCGGAGACTTTTTTTTTTGGCCTAAAGGAAAGAAAAAATTATTCTGAAAATCACCCGTGACCAGCATGAAAAGTAATATGATTAACACAGTACTACTAAGCGTCAACCCATCGAGGAATTTAAAATTAGCCTTGCAATCAAAGGCCTTACTGATTCTTTAGGGGTGGGTTGGAGGAGAACAGGTCCTCAAACGTGGGCGACTGCATGACTTTTTTCTGGAGGGGGCAATTAAGCACATTATTTCAACAACATTACAACAATTCCATAGAAATTCATTTTAAAAAAAGCTAACCTCCCACCCTGCTCTGACATATAAAAACAATTATACAGGTATTATATACGCCATACGGACGGAGCCGAGTTGTGGGCGAGGGGGTATTTGTACGCTTTTGTGTATAGTGTTAATACTCGTCGGAACAGCGCCCCCACTGAAAGTACGGTATGAGCCCCCCCCCCCCCTCCCCCACCAATTGATTTTACCATTTACGGAGCCAAGTGTCCGGACAAAAAAAAACTGTCTACATTTCAACATTTTGTTTGCTGATCCTGGATCCGCCCATGTTTAATGTATATCCAACAACATGAACGTATTTTAACAAACGGTCGAGTGAAGTCTAGCACCTCTTTTCAATTTTTACACGGCCGGTGATTTCTTCCATCGCTTAAGATGAATGCTTCCCCCCCCCCCCCCCTAGAAAACGTCCCGGTGACGCGCATACGCAAGTATTCTGCTTCGAAGTCCATATCTCAAACCCATCCGGCCGGGAGTCGGAGTTGCTCGTGAGTCTGCGGGTGACTTCACCGGGCGCGCCGGTCCATTTCTTGCCCGTTTGCTCGGGTTGAGCTCCGACAACGGCGACAGCAGAGGATACGCTTGAAGGCTCTCTTGAAAAGAGGGTTGCAGATGGCGTAACAGAACGGGTTGGCTGCGCTACTCAGATGTGCCAAGAAAGACAAGAGCTGTTGGGAAAAGAAACAACGAGATTGTAAAATTCGAAAAATAAATATGTTTTTTTTATATCAGTGTTTTATAGATCTTTTTGAAAATATGAAATCCGGTGAAATTTAAGTTCTTAATGTAAAAACAAACAAAACTAGAGATTCTTTTACAGTATCTTCTAAAACGACTTCTGTGGAATCAAAACCTGAAATATTCGAATGCTTTAATAGTTTATTTGTTCCATATCTCTGGTGATGGAAACAACTGTTTTTCAAAAGTGGATTGACACTGTACTTCGGAAGTTCCCAATAAACCTTAAGAGGGTAAACGACAAGAACATGTCAAGTCTGTTAAGGTACATTAGATGAAATACTGACTCTCGTTTTTGGTTAATTTTTATTGAAAAAGTCCACTTCTTTAAACATTTCAAAAAATAACATGTTTTTCCGGACAACTGAGGGCGCTGTTGATGTGATATCAATCCAGCTTAGGGGTTTTCTGTTCAAATTGTGAACCAAAAAAATGTGTTCATTGAAACGTTTGTGAGAAAAATTTGCTCATTGGCTTACTGCCATGTACTGACCAAAAAAGACAATTTACAACAGAATATCCAAAATTCTGGCAACTTTTAGTGTTGAAACGGCTGTAACATTGAGGTTTCTGCTTGATATGGCATCACACGTTATGCTCATGAATATGGAAATTCGTATTAGCATGATAAGGCACCAAAATACCCTTGAAAATGGCAAAACGATAATTGAAATGAGGTTATATAAGGACGCAAGGGTTCATTTACATGTATTGCATAAAAAACTACATTAAATGAGCCCTTTATAAGTGGATGGAAACCCCGGAATGATAATGACTCGAACCAGGGGTGAAAGGCGAGGAAAACACCACCACGCCAATACGACTCCTAATATTATTGAGTCTCCAATCTTGGTTATTCTAACTTCATTAATTTATAATTCATTTACTTTCATTTAAAGTATCATTTATAATAGGAGGGGGGGGGGATAATTTCATCTTTTTGTGTGTGTGCAGGGGGCAGGCGCGGTTCTACGGGGGGGGGGGGGGGCTAGGGGGGGGGGCTGTAGCCCCCAAAATTTTGTCTAGCCCCCCAAAAATAAATTCCGTAAAAAAAAAAATGCATTAGCAAAAAGAAGGATTGTGATGTACATGCAAACGGTCTTCCCCCTAAAGAAGAAATAGCCGTGACAAGGGTTTTAGGATTTTATTGGCGCTCCCCATTGAAAATATGGCATGCCCCCCCCCCCCCCCCCCCACCTATTGATTTTCGGAGGCCTAAGTGTCAGGAAAAAATTACCGGTCTACATTTCAGCACGCCTCCCTGAAACAATTCTGGATCCACCGTGCTAGCCCCCCCCCCCCCCAAATATTGGTTCTAGAACCGCGCCTGGCAGGGGGTAAGGTGTGGGGAAGCAGCCAATAATCATTACCCCTGTGTCTGTATCTGGGGTTTGCTCCGGAGCGACAGCCCCTATCAATGCGTAGACAGACCACGGCATGCCGGATACCACCATCACTACCCAGATGTACGTCAGGGTTCGGGTCGCTCTAAGGTTCACAAGGCTCGCCTTGCGGCCGATGTTCTTCGCGACACGCGGCTTCGCAGTCGGAGCTGATTTGGGAGCAGATTCCTGAATGGGTTCTCCTTGTCCTGTCTGAGGTTCACAACTGATGTCCTCATTCTCTTCATCCTCAGAAGCGCAAGCCAGATTTATCTTCCCAACTAGGACACCGGAAGGCCTCTTGATGTTTGTACTGGGCGACATCAAAGACGCTTGAAACTTGGGAGTCTTATTGATTGGCTCTCCTTGTCTTGTCTGAGGTTCACCACTGATGCTCCCATTCGCTTTTTCCTCCTTGAAAGCCAGATTCACATTCCCTATTGAAACACAGGAAGACTTCTCTATGTCTGTACCAGGAGACATAGAAGACGATTGAAATTTGAGAGCAGTCTCGCTGATTGGCTCTCCTTCTCCGGTCTTAGCTTTAGAACTGTTATCTCTCCCCTTCTCTTCGTTAAAAGCTAGGTTCACACTCCCTATTGAGATGCAGGAGGACTTCTTTGTGGATGTAGTAGGAGGCATCGAAGACGATTCGGCATCTGGATTTCCTGTAGCAGGGGCACTCTCAGACGGCGAGTTTAGAGAAGATTCCATGTTGACTTTCCTGTTTGAGGTTTTCCTAATCACAGTTTGAGATTCCATGGGCAAGGTCTCCTTACCCACTTGTTGTTTTTTATGCTCCCTAGCCCGGCGAATGATGGCACAGTACACAAGAGCGTAGAGTACTGTAGTTGCCAGTATCGGCACCCATGAGAGAGCTAGGAAAGCCAGGATTAGCAAGCCTGGGTGTAGGCCGTACGAAGGGTAACAGAGGGGCGGGCGAATCCTCTCCGTTACTCCGGCGTAAGGTAGCACCACAATCAGTGGTGTCCAGACCAAGACTGGAATGACGTATCCGATGGACATCATCAAACAGGCGTGTCTCAAGGTCTTCTCTTTCATGTGCTTGACGGGGTGGTACAGAGCTCGATATCTGTCGATACAAATGATCAAAGTCATCAGGAAGGTGGCGTGGAGGAAGACGTGGTTGGCGAACGTCAACACAGTGCAGAAAGTTTCGCTGAATGGCCAGTAGTCGACCAGCCAGATGATGTTCAACATGGAAGGTACAACCCCTCCACTGACTAGATCGGCCACTGCAAGGCCAAAGAGATAATAGTTGTTGTAACTGCGCAGTTTTCTTGTCGTCGCCATGGCGTAGCAGACGAGCAGGTTGCCAAAAAACGACATAAAGAGGAACACGGCACAGACGATGAATTTGATGATGAACAGGTATAGAGGTGGTGGGGGAAACTGGCGCGGGGATGATCCACCTGGTTCCACCGTGGAGTTAATCCACTCAGTTGAGTTGTTCCAACCGTCAGTGGAGCCGATCAGCTCACTAGAATTAGCGCCAGAGTTGGTCCACTGATGAGGTCCAGACTGTTCCGTGGTGGCGGTGATCCACTCATAAGAGCTGTTAATCCACTCACTTGAATTGATCAAGTCACCGTTGGCGGTCCACCCGTACGGATAAGTGACGGTCGAATTACTCCGCTTGCCAATACTAGAATTGGTAAGCCTATTAGATCCTAACTGCACCATTGTGTTGTTGATCCACTGTCGATCTTCTGGATTAAAAGTATACTTGCGTTGCAAAAAATTGGGTTTGTTGGTGCTTTTTTTGAATTGATACACTTGCTTGATATGCGTCACAGGCCAGGCTCAATCAACAAATTGTTCTCGATTCAGTTAATCGAAAATGTCCACTAAAGCCGGTCTAGAAAAAAAAGAAGATCTTTCAAGTTCATCCACTGATAGGTTTATTAAATCCACTTGGCTGAAGATGACCCTCTTGGTATCGATTGAAGTTCTTCTCGCGCTCTCAATAGATCAATGACCGTGTCAATTTTATCTGGGATTTACTCGAATAACCACGTGAAGCTTCGGCGACTGAATTGATGAAGCGTTTTTCCCTCTTTACGAATTCTGATTTTTCTGTCAGCAATATCGATCTAGAAGCCGCAGGCGACACCGACGATCCCAGAGAAGGAAGTGGCGGAAATAGTATAGCCATACAATCGTATACCAACTGACAACCGGTCAACAAAGGGGGGAAACAGATGAGCGATGGCTTAAGGGAAAGATTTTTTCATCGATAGTAGACCTGGTTACGGCGCACCGGTCGCTGAGAGTCCCTGAGAGTCCACCCAAGGAGAGGAGTGTGTATACGTTGATGGCCGGATGGATCATTCAATCCTATCCACACGAGCAGATAACGCAAGGACTCTCTTCGGAACCACCGAGGCACGTTGAGCAAACAGAATGCAAGAGTAAACCCCCAAACATCTCGTGTTTCCCCAGTTTTCCGGGGAGTCGTAATAGGCAAACAATAATTTGCTGGTCGTTCCACTGGATGAAATCGGAATTTGTGCGTTGCGTTTATGTTTCCTCGTGTGAACCCATAAACGGGTCGAATTTCAGCTATCTGGAATTTTGAAACAATAATTCTCTCCATGTATATCCAGAGAACAAGGATATTTCAGGACACTTAATTGTTTGCTTATTTCGTCCTTGCGAATCGCAATTAATGAATACAATTAATGATTGACTGGAAGGCAAACAATCACAAGTAAATAAAGCTGTAACACACTCATGTTAGCTATCGGATATCCTTGAGCAAATAGCGAGAGATTCTTGTGATTGCGGGCTATAAAAGGAATCGGATAGCGGCCTGTGTTTTTTTTTTTAGTGAAAGGGGACCGGGGTGTGTAGAAAGAAGTGCCCAAGGTATATAAGTGAGTTCGGCGATTTACCAACAGATACATTTCGTGAATTTCTATCACTGAGCTGATAGAAATGTTTTCACACCAAAACAAAACCCTGATCATAGCTGGATCTTGTTCAAGTTTACGATACAAAAATTGAAATCTTCGAACGTTTCCGAGAAGTTTCCGAGCTTTAGAGATGATGTTGCTTAAGAGTTAATTGAACACTCAATGCCACCCGTATAAGATCGCACCTCCGACGTAACACAGGGTGAGTAAAAAATAAGTGAAATAATGCAAAGGAACCTTTTTAAAAAAAAACAAATTTGCAGTTTTAAACTTTGTAAACGTGTAAGAATTTCATATTCGTTAATAGTAACCTTGTGTGAAAAAATGAAGTTAATTATATTTACCGTTTGTCTTTTGTGAACCTTTTTACTGCGGTACCTGATTTACATTTTTGTCCATGAAGCATCAGAAGTTTGCGTAAATGCGGAAAGGGTACAAAAAAGACATTATTGACAACACAGATTTAAAACTGACTGAACCTTAGCGCAAGCTTCATTTTTCTGTTTCACTTATTTATGTGTATGTAGAGTTTCTCTGGGCTATGCTGTACTTTCTGTGTCCTTCGTTCTTCGCACAATTGGAGCTCTGCCCTCTACTTGGCAACCCTGCAAGGCAATGCATGTCTCAGCTCCAGACCTCATGGAAAGAACCGCTCTAAAGGAACACAGTTTGTGCTCGTATGCAATTTTTTGACGCCTCGTGGACAAAAACGTAAATCGGGTACTGCAGTAAAAAGGTTCACAAAAGACAAACGATAAATGCCATTATCTTCATTTTTTTCACACAAGGTTACTAACGAATTTGTCATTCTGATAAGGTTTAAAAAGTTCACAACTTCAACTTGGTTTTGAAAAAAAAAGTTGGCTCCATTGCATTATTGCAGTTTTATTTTTATATATATATTTTTTAACGCTGTATGTCACAACCGGGTCTATAAAGTGAGGGGGATCAGTCGAGTTTGGTATTGTCGTCGCATAATACGAACCAATAAAGGTACATGAAACTTTGAAAACAAAAAATCACGATAGGAGAAGCTACATTCTGTTGAGCGATGCATCTTTTGGGAAGTCACTTTGACGGCCGACAAAGTGTGAGCACAATTGAAATCCATTCGAAAAACGCACGACACCGTGTAGTGAAATTGTTAAAAAGCATCCTTTCCGCCTACGTTTTTGATTGATCGCAACTGAGTGCAACCTTCGATCTTGAGGTGTTTAGATCTCACCCTCACCGCCGCACCTGCCCTTTCTTCGGGCCCAACGACGGATGAAACTCTACAACGGCCTCTCTTTGAAATGCTAACTGCACTTTGCGCGTCAGGAATTGGAAGCATCGCTTTGGGAATTGAAAGTATCCTCTATCGACTTCGTCAGTAATAGCGCGGAACGAACGAATATAATGGTTAAGACGGACACTTGGACGGACCTTTTGAACGGACGGACATGATCGCTTGAAACAACAAATTGGAGGACATTATTCAAAAATTTATACACGTTGGGATTCTTTGAAATGTACAGGCATCTTAAAACATCATGCTTAACTTTGGTGTATGACCAGTGTCATATACAAACGGATCACTGCTTACGTGACACTGTTTTTCCAGTTTCTATTATCACTTCAGGCTGATTAGTCGGAGTCCAAGTGATCTAACTGCCTCCTGTGAAAGTCATGTGAACATCATTTCTTCCTGAGGGACAATGTTGCCTCTAAGAGACACACAACATATCTCCATTAAAATACCTGGGTCATTTTCAAGTCTTATCAGCCTTCTAATTTCTGGGGGAAAATATGGTTCAAGAACGCTGATGTATAACTAATTTGATCGTCTTGTTAAACTATTAAAAAAGGTTATCTCCCTTTAAAAAAAAAGTCTGAAGGTTCTGAACATTCTGAATATAAAAGCGCCCTCAAGAGAGTCACCCTGTTGAAACAGCGCCCTCTATGTACGTGATCCCATTTTAACACCCCCTACCCCTCCGAAATACCATTCCATACACGATAAAAAAGTATATTTGATAGCTGTTTATTTAAGCACGAGTATATAAATATTATCCAAAACTTGAATTTACAAAAAAAAAAAATTACTCTGACACTTTTCGGGCCATATTTTACGCAGACGTTGACCTTTCTCTGACAGAATCGTGTGTATACAGCAAGAAAGCGATCAATAAGTTTGGTTATATGTAAGAACGGGCCCAGTATGCACTGTGCCGAGGGCCTTCGAAAAATTTGAGGGCCTACGAAAACTTGGGGGATCGAGGGCCTACGAAAGTACCGCAGTGTGCCATAAAACACAAAGGCCTACCCACACATAACACCCACACGCGCAGAGAAAAGTTTTTTAAACAAGATTTAGGGTCTCTCTCAGAATTTTCGATTTCACCAACTGACGCTGTACAGCATGTATGCATTGGCCGTACGTATAAAATGTACGTGTAAAGTCTGTCGTTCTGAAGCACGGTGCAAACCATGGACGTCGATCGGTGGGGAACGAGGGGGGACTGATGTTGTTCCCCAACGATTTTCGTCCCTGAATAAAAATATGTAGCCTGCATTTGATTCTATAGCTCAGAACAGCTGATTTAATGACTCCAAACTCGACAAAGATGTTTCAATGATGATCTTGTGCTAAAACTTTGACATTCGTCAGAAATTGCCTCAGATCGCACCACAGGGCGCTTATAAAATCCAATTTTTTTCAGGGGCCCCGAACCCCGCGCCGTTTAGTCTTCGCACTCGCACAATTGGTACTGATCAAGATACACATGTATGCCCCCCACTTTGAGAAGCGAATGACGCCCTCGAGAATTGGTGCCAACAGGCTGTTAGAGCTTAGCCTTTAGTCAAGTCCCATGCGCCTATACCCGGACCATCCGGACACGTAACGCACGGATGCTGGCACGTAAAAAGACTAGCACGAGCGGCGAAGCCTTTACTATCTCGTGGAACTAATCACTTATTTATTTATTCACGTAATATAAATCAAGCAATATAAACCAATCATCTAACGGTGGTTTGCGGTTACCAGCAACATGGCGCGCGTGCTGTCTGGCGCCAGACGACGGCTGACTTAAGTTAGTAATTCTGCATTTTTATTGGTCAATTCACAACGGGTAATGCATTATGCATGTCTACCTAATCGGTAGACAAATGTAAAGAAAAACATAAGCGTTCTCCACGAGATGGTAAAGGCCCTCGCGGCTTCACCGCTCGTGCTAGTCTTTTTACGTGTCAGTATCCGGGGTGCGTCACGTGTCCGGGTAGGCGCGTGGGACTTGACTAAAGGCTAGTTAGAGCTAGGACCTAAACCAGTTTGGCCTGACTTGATTTGTACAGCCCCCCCCCCCCAACAAAAGTGTGTTCTGGATCCTTCCTTGTAACCCCACTCCCAATAGGCCTAATCTATAGCCACATATTTTTATTATGTGTTTTTTGTAGACAGGGACATTTTCCGGTTCTTATTACATGATTTTCCTAGTGTATCCAACTTCAGGCGTGGAGTACTCATAACATGGTTTTGGGGGACATTCCTCATTTTGCCACATTAGGTCACAAAATAATGTGCTATACGCTATACCCGAATTTATAACCACTTAGCTAGAGTTGTTTAATGACACTCATTCAAATGGGCCTTGTTTTGTAGACAGTAATTTTGAAAAACTGACTCTCCATGGCAAACGTTTGGTGACGCTCTGCATTGTGATCGCCCGAATTTAGGATTTTGATCATCCCCCCACTCGCCAGAACAGATTTACGCCACTGGCCGTC